CTTTGAACATGTGTGGAATTCATAAAACAGGGTTGCTCCACTGCAGCCGCAAGCAGTCATATAATCTTATCCAAGCCACCAAGCCACCAAGCCACCGTGTCATATCTCCGGAGCGACGATCCATACCTTCCGAGGGCTGCTCATTGGAGCCTCCCTTTCCCAACTCGGTGAGCCGGGCTGTCAAGGGGTATTGAATTCTCGCGTGTTTGGCCAGGTACTATGGGAGAAACTAGGGTCATCTCACAGCTAGAGCATTATCATGAGCTATTTCGTTTGTGAACCACGATCTGATACTTTCATACGTTGGAAAATTGAATCGAACGCTTTCTATCTACCTTGGAATGGTAAAGTGCAACGTGTAGTTAATAAAGATAATGATCGACTCTACATACCACATCAGCAAGGGATATGATCTGCAACGTGGAATGGAGATCTCGTACAATATTCCTCGGCATCATATTTCTGTCCCCCCTCCGGATTTAGAACACTCGGACTACTTTAAAAAGGGCCTCAAGGTCGCCCGGTTGAGTATCACCAACACATCACAATCATCTCTTCAATCAATCTATCTATCCAGTATGTACAACAGCTTCCAATCAGCGATGCAAGTTACTAACCTCCCCAGAACCACTTCACCTCCAACCTTCAAAATGAAGTTCATCCTCATCGCTCTGACTCTCGCTGCTACTGCCATTGCCGGTGGCTCCGATGACGGCAAGGTCTGCAAGTCCGGCCAGTCTGTTGTCTGCTCTGGCAACGGCAACGCTGGTCTCCTGACCCTCGGCAACGTCGCCCCCGGTGCTCTGGGCGAGTCCTGCTCCACTGGCGGTGTCTACTGCTGTGACGACAAGGATGTCGCCGTAAGTACCTGTAGCTTAACTCGCAGTATACAATTTGCTAATCATTTCAATAGAGCGGCAACCTCGTCAACCTGGACGTCAACGCCCAGTGCTCTCTCAACCACCTTCTTTAAGAAGCTCCATCCTAGAGCTTTTCGTGCTTTTGACTTTAATCCACTCTCTTGATCCTGGGTCACATGTCAGATGATTTGAAAGTTGGTTTGCTATATGGGTTATTGAAGTAGTTCTAATACGAATCACTTAATCTTGACTTCTCCCTCCTTGTGCTTGGCTGTGCTCTGAACAGGCCACCAGAAACTTTCTGCTGTAGTATTAGTGCCTTCGAAATTGTAGACTCCCACTTGGCCTTTTGTTGTTTGAAAATTCCCTTGTGTTTACATAATACCATCGTCCAATGACCCCTAGTGTTGCTAAAGTTGAGCTCTGGAATAGTTCAATCCGAGTTAATCCTATGATAAAACTCTATCTTTTATTTTCGTTATTCGCATTGTTAGAAGTTACCTGTCAACTAGATATAACTCAATAAGCTTTTTGCCCCTTTGCCAGAACCTTGGGACGCGCACGGATTCTCAGATGATCACGTAGATCTCAAAACTAGTCGGGGAATATACCATTGAAAAGATAGTTCAAAGTTTAGGTTAATGTCAGCAGGGACTTGAAGACAATTCTACTAATTCAACCCTACCATGTGAGTAGTTCGTATCATGTGTGTAGATGGAAGTCAGCTGAATGAACTACGAGAAGAGAGTCGGGAAAATGTAACCTTAGAACTGACGACGCACTCGGACTGAAGACGGCAGCGTATTCAAGTCGGTAGAATCTAGTGTCCCCAATCTTCATTTCTTAGATTAATTGTCCATCTTTCAACATCTCTTCCATCAATCGTCTCTAAACATCAAGCAAATTGAAGAGTAAGAACGAGGCGTTTTCTCGTAGTAAGGCGGCTTGAAGCAACTCAAGGGATGACGGAGGGGGCTTCCTCCATGTGATATCTCCTGCCTGACGCGTCAGTCGGCTCTAACCGAATCATTCCTCTCCCTAGATCCATTCTTAAGTGTCTCGGTCCGAGTCAAGACGCATTCTTTCTCGGAGGTTAGGCCTCAGGGCCTTATCACCGGGCGGTCGCAACTTGGAGTTGGCCTTGGCGCCTTGGAGCCTTCAAGTTGGACCTCAGGAACCACACTAAAGACCTCACTTTCCAACCAAGGTGCTGCGCTCACATTCTAAAATCAAAACCAAATACCTAAGGGGAAATTCTGCCCTAGCAATATCTTTTGACGAATGAAAGGAGTGATGAAAGCTGTAGATTCAAGTTCTGACAGCAAAGGAGGGAGGCTAATATAGTTAACTAGTTAGGTTCTTGAGCTGCCTGAGGCTCCGCCTCAACAATATCCACCTGGGCATCGGGTTCAAGTTATTTTCAGAAATCGTATATGTTATAAATAGTAGGGGTCCTGTGTGTATTTTTAGGTTCTACGATGGATTGTTCAATTTTCTGAGCCCTTCCAAGCCCTGGAGGTTGCTACTAGTTGGGGCCAGGATATATTTTCAGAACTCAAGTTGCGGTTATATATTTTCATTCCAGCCCTGGCTCCAAAGGGCTATCCATTCCAAGGTTTTGAAACTTGAACGGACTCGGACTTCAAGGACTCAGATCTCGCACGAATACTAGTAGTACTACCTAGGTACTACTAGTAGTTGGTCAAAACTCTTCTTGAATCCACCTGGACATGGATTCAAGTCCACGGGTTTCAAGTGCTTCAGGTTCAAATACCAAGGTTTATTTCCAAAGTTCGCATATGGCTTCAAGCGGGTACCAGCTACTACTAGTAACTACTACTAGAAGTACTTTGCGAAGTTGTAGTAGCAAATTTACTAAACTATGTTCAAGTTATTACACGGCACTCCTGGTAGGTCACCTTTAGAAAAGCCATCTCAGAACTTCGTTCAAGTCAAGTACAATAGTCCACTACTCGAACCTCCACGCGACTGTGCAGAAATTCAATTCCATACCAGAGGTACTACCATACCGTACCATAATACGCCATAATCCACCGTTCCAGCCTAGACCACCCTGATAAAAGAATCCGAAAGCAAAGAAAGATAATAAGATAATACAAAACAAAGTAATTCAAATGATAGTGGTTTAAGTTTCATAACAATGTCATCCCAAAAAATGAAAGAACGAATGAAAACCAGCTAGCTAGCTACTACAGCGCCAGCTGGAAATTCAAAGCCTCATCATCTTCCTCGAAAGTCGGCAGATTTTCCTCAAGTTCCTGCGCGGGAATGCCTTCTTCGGGAGAATCGAAGCAGCCAGCAGCCTTGCAACGAGTCCACATGTCCGAGCCCAGCGGCGGGGCACCGTACAGTTGTATGTATGTGTCCGGTGAGAGTGTAGTATGGGTACTGGAAGGCTTCGAGTCTTCCTTGTTCTCGTTCAGAGCGGAAGACACGCTTCGGCCCTTGGAGTAGCCGAGAGTGCTGTTGGAGGTAGCGGCAGCGGCAGTGTTGCGCATAGATGATGGGTTGGTCGGGACCCGAGTTTTCTTCTTCGGCATCAGGGCGGAGGGAAGGGCGGACGGCAGTCGGGACTTGGGAGCTGCGGGCACACGGGTGGGAGCAGCACTTGGCGTGGGTGCAGAACCCAGAGCGCTGGCAGCTTCACGGGAGCGAAGCGTGGAGACGGTGCGGGTGTGACGCATGGCAGTCGATGCGGGAGTCTTGGAGCGGGTGCTGCGTGGTTGCGGCATCGGGGCTTTCATCGATTCGTCTTCGCTGGGATCATTGAAGCTGATGGTGTCTAGCTGCTTCATGATCATTTCCTCGGCCATCTTATCGCACCGCAGTGAGTCCTCGCGGAATTTTCGCTGCTTTTGGGTCAGGCCATCGCGGCCGACTTGTTGCTTGCCGTATACACTTTCCAATCCGAGTGCGCGGTTCTTTGGTCGGAATTGAGGGAAGGTTGTGTCGTATGTGATGTCGTCTGGAACATCCGGGAGATCTAGAAAGTCTATCAGCAAACCTGCGCGTTTCGTTTTCAAGTCACTCCACCAAACATGTCCTGGTCTTACCTGTCGGTTTGGGCGGCATGTATTCGATGTCCGGGACGTCATCTTGAGCAGCTTCGGTAAAGACCTTTGTCTGGGATTGCTGTAGAACCGGACCGGCCTTCTTGCGCACGGTGGAGGCGCGTCGGTTCGTGTTTCCTGGTTTCAAGGTTCCTCCGAAGGGAGCGGGTGTCTGGGGAGCTCTAGCTTTCTGATTGTTCGTCTTGACGCCGAGGGGAGCACGGTTTCGAGGTTCTAGCATCATATTTCAGTTAGTTTGGATCTTTTTGAGGAATATCAAAACACAGAAGTCGCGCGTACCCATCGGAGTGACTGGGGCCAGCTTCCCAGGCTTGCCATTCTCTTGACGGGCTCCATTGCCCTTTACTGTATTCTTGCCAAATGCTAACGGGTTGTTTTCGTCTCGAAGAGGGATCTGTCTGCCAGGAGTCTTGGGAGCGAGCTGTTTCATGCCTTGGTTCATGGGCTTGGCGGCGGCGGCGGTTTGATGGGTGTTTACCAGATTTTCCTGGTCACGGATAGCCAGCATGGCGGCGAGTCGGTATGGGCTGTGAGCATGCACAGCACTTGTTGTATTTGGTATTGTTTCAAGTGTCTTTGTCTCGAAGGTAGATTGAAGGAGGAGTGAAGCTCTGCTCTAGAGCACTCATCGGTATCGCTGTCAGTGGTTGCCCGTGGAGACGCGGCGATCCGAAGGCGGTGATTGGCTGGTCGGCACGGGGGCTTTGTGTACCGTGGCTGCCTGATCTGCGAGGCTGCAATAATTGTGTACATCCACTTTGGGTAAGTACCGAGTACTTGTGTTGCCACGTATTTTGTGCTAAGTCAGCGGGTACTGTATACCGCCTCATGCTCCCCCTTGCTCTTTGGTCCGTTGTGTCTCGCTGGTCTCCCCTTCTTCTCCCAATTCTGGCCCAAAGGATATTCCCTCCCCCCCCACCATTTCCAATCCACCAACCACCCGGCTACGCTGAGCGACAGCCTTGACTTCCTTTCACTCATACATATTAACTTCCATCTTCTTTCTCCCCTCCACACTTTCTCACATCTCTCAAATACTCCCCCCAAAATGGATAAGATCAAGGAGGTATGTGTTTTTGGATCCCCTGTCCCTGACTGGCGGGGTAGCTTGGACAAGCTGTCCCCCTTTGCACTCTGCACTTTGCACCTTGCACCACAACCCCCCCCCCCCCTTCCGTGCCCTGCATATCAGTCCTGCATCTGCACTGCCGAGCATAATCATACGATGCTAATCACCGTCTTCTCCAATAGCGTATGAACGCCCTCCGTGTGGAGGCTGACGAGGCTCACGATGCCGTCGAGGAGCTGAAGGCCAAGGTCAAGGACCTGGAGCAGGCCAGCCTCGCCAAGGAGCAGGAGATCACATCCCTCAACCACCGCAACCAGCTCCTCGAGGAGGAAGTCGAGAAGCTTGAGTCCTCCGTTAAGGACGCCAAGGACGCCGCCAACCAGAGTGCCCAACACGACACCCAAAATGAGGCCCTCCAGCGCCGGGTGCAGCTCCTCGAGGAGGAGGCTGAGGAGAACGACAAGACTCTGCGCGAGACAAATGAGAAGTACGTCCACACACCATATCTTCCCGCTGTTGCTGCTTTGCACCACAGCCAACTAACTTTGTGATCTACAGGCTCCGCCAAACCGACGTCAAGGCCGGCCACTACGAGCGCAAGGTGCAGGCACTGGAGACGGAACGCGACCAGTGGGAGGCCAAGTACGAGGAGATGGCAGAGAAGCACGGCAAGCTCGAGAAGGACCTGCACGAGCTGGAGGTTTCCATCAGCAATGTCTAAAGCAGGACGTTGGGTATCGGTGTAGGGTGTCGGAATACGTCGGGTTGGATGCAGGCTCACTTCCCTTTTTCGAGCTGTCTGCTTTGTTTTCTTTTTTTATCATACAGCGGCCGGTTGCGTTATTCCCCATCCTTCTACCGTGCTGGAGAACAACTTTTATCTCCATCGCACACATGTCATATTGACTACGGTACCGGGTCGAATTGCTCGAATTAATTCACCTTTTTTTTGTGCCATCCCCCCCAGTCTCGTCTCGTGAAAGTCATAGATATTTGATGCGCAAGCAGTATTTGCATATGGTGTGGTATAAGAATAAATTGACAGAAAATAACCAGCTCTTTTCTTCTCTTTCTTCTCTTTCTTCTCTTTCTTCTCTTTCTTCTCTTTCTTCTCTTTCCTTTCTTTCCTTTCTTTCCTTCTTGAATCCCTCACTTCTCTCTCCGTGCATCGGCCTTCTTGGATTTTGATGCCCGTTGCTTGGCGTGGTTGACTTTCCGGTCCGCCTTGCTTTCATATCGGAAGGACCGCTTCTTATTAACCTTCTTAGGTCGGTCTGCTCCGTATTTCTTCCCTTTCTTGGGCTTCTTCTCGTCGGCCTTTTCCTCGGCAGCCTCGGTAGGGTATTCCTTCTTCTCCTCTTCCGCGTCGGAGTTGTCCTCTCGTACTGCCTTTCGTAAACCCTCTCGCGACGGGTCCATTTCCTCCACTGTGACAGTTGTGTATTTGTCTTCGTCGATATATTCCGCCTCGTAGTCTACCGCGGGTGGTTCCTCAATGCCGCCCCATTCCTCATCGTCCGAGTCGTCATCAGGGTTGGCATCGCTGGTTTCGCCGTTCACCTCCCTGTCCAGCTCCTTGTCCATCTCCCTGAGACGCTTCAGTTGCCTTTGATGCTCTTCCAAAGCCTCTTTGTATTCAGCGGCACGCTCCTCGCGCATCTAGAGAGATAAGAAAAAGAAAGTTTAGTCCTCCGCTGCTGCATTTCCACCCGGGGACAGAGAATTCTGCAAGAAGCAGAACATACCTTGGCACGATCATGTCTGCGCTCCTCCTTGTATCTCTTCTCCGCCGCAGCCTGTCCATGCTTAATGCGCTCCTGCTTGCGCTTGCGGAATCCAGTCAACCATTCTTGACGGGCCTCTGGGTCGAAATTGACTTCTTCGGTTTTGGAGACCTTGCGGCGTTTAACAGAGGGGCCCATAATGGCAAAATAGAAGCAGAAAAGGAGTCAATCAGATGATTGATCCAGTGGTAAAAAGAAAATCAAGAAAAAGTGCACTGGTGCTGTGCGATAGGATATTCTCAAGCCGAGAAAAAAAAAGTCGGGTTGAATGTGAAGCTCAGGCGGGCCGGGCCTGTCGACCGCCTCCGAGACCAGCGGCGGCTGAACCTCTCCCCGTTGGCATTGGCAATTGGCATTAACCACCATCCTCCCCCAGTTTCACACACCCACACACACCCACACCATGCATCTAAGCAGGTTTGGACTGCTGGCCCTCGCGGCAGCTGCAGCTGATGCCTTCCGCGATACTTCGCCATTCTTTATGGCCTCAACTTCCGAGTATGATCGTTCCTCCCTGGGCCCACCTCCGAAAGCTACGGCCAGCTAATCACTCGCCCCTAGGTTGTTGACCAACTCCGCCTATATCAAGACCAGCGCTTCGCTACTCGATGATTTGACCTCTTCTCTGAGCACCTGCCCGTCGGATTACTATGTCGTCGTCCACCAACCCGGTGTCCACAGCTCCGATTTCTCGACTCGCAAGTCGGCACCCCGCCTTGGCGCGAAGATGATGGGCAAGGACAAGTCCATTCGGTCGCAGATGAGCGTTAATGAAGTCGCGGGATTATTGGATGGAGGCCATATCAAGAGCCTTCTTCAGGAGAAGTGCAAGGCGGAGACTACTGCCATCGATGGTTCTTGTGAGTTGCTTGCACCTCCCTGCAGGAACCCGTTGAGGGATAGACGAGGGGATATATGAGATATGCATGGGAGCTGGAAACTGACGTTCGCGCATAGCTGGAGAGTATCCCTCCTACTTTGATTCGGCTCCTCGTGTTATTGACATCGAATTCCCCATGCTCAGCTTGGGCTCGGATCGTGCCAGCCAGCTGTCCGATAATGGTACGTTGAAGCTACCCTAGTAAGAGGAATGACCAGGGGAAATGTTCTGACTCTGATCCAACCCAGATGGCCTCATCTCCGATATCATTGACCGTCTTCCCCCCAAGTCCAAGTATACTCTCCTCTACGTTACCTCGCCTCGCGAGTTCCCCGAGTCCGACTCCGTGATCTACGAGTCCGATGGAGCTGGTTCTAGCTACCAGGATCCCGTCCACATGGACCTCAAGCGCGACTACTCCTCCTACAACTCCGATTCCAGTGATTCCGGCTCAGACCGCCGGTTATCTCTGTTTGATGAGTACCAATTCTTCACTCCCGGTTCGTAACCTAACCTCTCTTTGACTTTGATAGTTGACCCTTTCTAACGTTATGAACAGGTATCTTCATGGGTCTGATTGCAACCTTCCTCTTTGTCACCATTTTGTATATCGGTGTCAATGCTCTGAGTAGCCTTCAAGTTCCCTACGCTGCGTTTGAGAAGGACACCTCCGCTGCTGCGAAGAAGCAGTAGTGGTCGAAGTAGGTGGATTGAAGCTAGATTTATACCTTGCACAACAGCATGTTTTGATCGATTTCCTCTTTTATTTTCGGGCCCTGGGGTACATTTATTTTTCTTGCGTATTTTCATGTATGATATAACATTGAGTAATTTTTACTCTGCTTTACTCAGCTTTGCTTTGCCATGCTATAGTTAGTAACATAGTATCATGTGACACTTCACCCCGGATGTTGGCCTGAGGCCGCCAATCTCGTCTCGCTTTGCCCCAACTCAACTGGGCGCCTCTTTTCGCTTCTTTCCAATTCTTGCTTGCCCCGAACGGTTTTTTCCCCTCTCTTAATTCCCTAACGCTCGTTGTCTCCCACCCTGGGGTAGTCATTCGTTTCACCTACTGACCTCAATGATCTATCTCTCACACTGCGGCCTGTAAATTGTGCATCGAGCCCCTGATCTGCCAGGAACACAGACACCCGCACCGACCAGGCTTCCTGTCAGCCAGGACGAATTACGATCCCGTTTACGGACCCGGCCAGTCAAGGGCAGGGATAAAGGTTCTTTGAAAGAGCTTAGGATCAGAGGATTCTTTACCTTGTACACCCACGCTGATCGTCCATCTACATACACTCCACAGACCCGCTGTGGAGAATCGAATCCGTTGATTTCATTGTTTACTGCCTGGTTACCATGCGACTTCTCCCACGAGGGCTGGGGAATTCCCAGCCACGACTGATCCTCCTTTTTCTGCTGGTGATTGTCATCGCTGCTCGTGTGTCTGCCCAGAAGGCGGGGGATAAAACGACGGAGACAAATGCCGATGTGGCCCAGACCACCGACGATCGCTCGACCAGTGACAGCACAAGCACAAGCACCCCTAGCGTGACCGAAACCACTGCGACAACTAAGGAAACCACCTCAACCTCGTCCTCCGAAAAAAACAGAAACCACGACATCCTCCTCATCCACCTCCACAAAGTCGGAAAAAACTACCACCACCATGGATACAACGACGACCTCGTCGACCTCCTCCACGGAAACCTCAACCTCAACCACCGACAGCACTAGCACAACATCATCCGTTTCCACAACAACGACATCAACATCCTCATCAACCACCACAACCGGCGCCCCAATAGTTACCGTACCCCCAACCGCAAATGCCCCATACATGCAAACAACAAACACACCAGAGGGAACAGTCTTCATCGCCGTCGGCGCCGCCCTCGGCCTAATCGGCCTAGCCGTACTCGCCTGGCGAGGCATGGTCGCATGGTCCGTAAACCGCTCCGTCCGCCGCGCAGCAATGGCCCAATCCGAATCCAAGCGCCTCCTCCGCGGCAGTCGCAAAAAGCGATCAACCGTCTACACCCCGGCCCCGGCGACCGACGTTTCCCTGGAAAAACTCGGCGCAGCCACCCGAGCCAGCTACAAACCCTCATCCAAGCGCGGACCCAGCGGCGGCAGCGGTCTCTTCTACTCCCCAACAGCCGGTGGTGCGGGCGCGGCGGGAGCAGGATCTCATCATAGTCTCAACGCGACGACGAATAATCGTGGCTCGACGTACCTGCCTCCAGGATTCTATACTGCTGCCGGTAATAACTCGACGTCGCGGGACTCGATTGGCGGTGCGCCGAATACTACGGCAGGAGGATATCCGCCCAATAGTTCGACGCCGTCCTTGCCGCCGACTGGTCCCGGTGCGGGTGCGTACTACGATGCGCCGCATAATGCGCGCCAGTCGTATGTTGGTGCGTCGACTAGTTCGTTGAATCTTAGTCAAGCGCCGCAGCAGGGTCGGGCACCGAGTGCGTATTTGGAAGATCTTTTTGAGAATCATAGCTCGCCCCCTCCGCGCCGATCTGATCGGCGTGAGAGGTAGGTGAGCGATCAGGAATGGGATCTTGTGGCATGTGGCATGGCATGGTAATTACGACAGGGACGATACGATATTCGGCAGGTTTCACATTTAAGCATTGAAGTTCATATTTTTTTGTTCTTTTCTTTTCTCGTTCCCCCCTTTTCTGTTTTTCTTTCATGTGCTATGGTTATTTGATCTTCTTTACATTTATCTAGTACTTGACATTTTTTCGAAGGGTGTTTTACGGTGTTCTTTTTCTTTTTCTATCAGCGATGCGATGCTATTTTCTTTATATAACTAACTCATCGGCCTTTTGAATGTTTCGAATAGTTACTAGGCATGCACAAATAACATTTTTCTCTTCTTCTCTTGGCTTTCTCTTGGATGATTCAGTTACGTAGAATTGCCGGTATGCTGAGACCTGGACTCGCCGAGGGCCAGCTTGAAGTAACGAGGATAACCCATCTGTGAAACTTCAAGTTCATCTACTTCACCCAGCCCTGGCTCTTGATATAATTCTAGTATCTTGCCAACTTCCATGGTTAACTTTGCCAGGGGCTACATTTCTTAGATTTTAATTAGTCATGTACACACAAAGCCTGGACGAGGACAACTATCATTCATGCAACTGGTTTGAGATAACTCAAGTACATTCAAGCTTCCCTGGTTGCAGACAACGTGATTTCACTGATGGGATCTACAAAATACTCAGTCCGAGTCCGCGAAGACCGTAGGGCACGCCCAATCTCTAAGAGGAGGTCGGCTCCGAAAGGCGGGTAGGCCTGAATTTCTTCATAAAACTTGTGTTTGCCGCTGCGGAGGAACCCTTCAACGGAAGCTGCAGCCAAAACACTTCGCACTGGATGACCTTGAGGCAAAAGGCTTGCCGAGGCAATATGATCACGCCTGAGATAATAAGTGTGGGTATCGATATCTCGAATTCGAGTGCGTTTGTTCCCCGGATGAGGGTTGGATATTATGATTTCCTTGATACACTCGGCTATTGTATCTTCGAGCCCAGTAATCTCGTACTTGTCTGCAAGCCTAGCGAGCTCCAATGCTGCTGAAGTATGCTCGGTTGGGTCTTCTATCTCGAATTCGACAGTGCGTCGGTATAGCCATTGAATGAGTGCTTCAAGGCTACGCACCGAGACATCGTCTTCAGTTGCCTGTAGAGTGGCCGTCTGTTGCTGCGACTCTAGAAATTGGCCGTTGAACATTTTCGAGAAAACCGGCGATTCCGCACAGAGAAGGCTTTTCGAAATTACATATTCCTTGTTACTAGGCTGTAATCGAATTTTGACGGACGGGCCTTGGTAGAGAGGGAGGATGCTAGTTGATACATTGGTTAGATAGACGATTTTCTCAAGATATCTCAGGTACTTACTGGGTTACGAAGTGCTCTGCACTTTCCTCGGATGGGGTGGTCATTGTTTAGGAATAAGAAGAGCGCACTCGGTGGTAAATGATGCAGAGATAGCTTGGGGATATGAGGCCTGGACAGGTGAACGGTGAGATTATCGTGCGAACCCTTGGTACATGCCACTGCAGGGCATGCAGAAGATGCTGTGGTAGACAGAAATAGAAGAGCCGAGCAAATCGGATTGTACACTCGATTCCGTGCAATTATCTGCACCTCGTGTTGTCTTGCTGATGGTGGTGGTTAGATACTACCACGTAGGAGACATAATGATGATGATGAAAATGTGTGATGATGATGTTCTAGATAAAGGAAGGAGGCTGTAGCCTTGAATTATACCTGGGTAAACGAATCTTGAGTGCCTGAGGCTCCAGCCTCAAACATTCACTACTATATTGTAAGATACAGCTAAGAGTCTAAAACGTCTGCTGAGCCCCAGAGGCCTCAGGCCTACGGCCTGCCTGGCCCCGCTTTATGTATGCATGACTAGGAGTCTATCCCTGCATGCATTGCATTGATTTCATTGTCTCATCACGATGATTAGCCGTTTGCACGTCGTTTGTCATTAGAGAGATAATTATAGTGTGAGGATTTCCCCCTCCATCGCGTAGATCCATCGTCTTCTTCTATCTCATCTTCCAGCATTTCTAAATAAAGTGGAATAAAAAGACCGCCTGATCAATCGAGACTCGGAACTGTTGAGGATATTTCCCGACAATCAAGTCTTACTAAGTGTGGTAGTTTAGTTGGCGTGGGACACCGAGGTTCCAGCTTTTAGATCTAATACATGATAAAAACGTTCCCATCATTATGGTAACCTGGTAGAGTTGTATGCTGTGGCTTTAATCAAAAGTAGATTCTTCTTTCTCGGTAGTAGGGTTGTAAAAGCAGTCAGTATGAGATTGATGTTAGAAAATATCTAAGCGTGGGAAAAACAGTACAAATGACATCACATCATTCAAGTCACATTATCTTGACCGGCCTTGCTGCTGCTGAATGAAGAATTCGACCGTTTCAAAATGGCCGTTGTCAGCTGCTCGCGCAGCTGCAGTTTCCCACTGACGAGAGGGAACACCCAGATGTTCCCGATATTCCATCAGACATCGAACAAACTCGACATTCCCTTCCCTTGCGGCAGTTATCATGGGGGTCTCACCGAATTTGTTCTGGGCATCGACGTCAATGTACACGATACCTCTAAACAAGGCCCTGGCAGCGTCGCAATGCCCCTTTTCCGCCGCAATGTGAAGGGGAGTATTGTTTCCACAACCAGCCACGGTAGCGCTCGCTCCTTTGGGTGTGATGTTAGACTTGTATGACCTGAAATGTGTGCATTAGATGGGGTTTTTTGCGTACCATTCTCTAATAACAGCCGAATGATATCAACGTTATTATTTGTAACTGCGCTATGAAGTGGCGCCCATTTCCCTCCTATTGACAGTGAGTTGATAAGCCCTGTGTTCCGTTTCAGGAGAGACTTCACAACTTCCACATTACCAGCGCACACAGCGCAATAAAGCAAGGTCTCTCCTTGGTAATTCAAGTGACTAGTACAAGCCCCTTTCGATACCAGTAACTCCACCACACGGGATGATCCATTTTTAACTGCAATGTCGAGAGCTCGGCCTTCCTTGCCAGCCGAGCTCTCAATATCGGCACCATGGTCCAAGAGGGCTGCTGCGGCATTGAGACGGTCGAGTGATGCTGCCAGTTTAAGGGGTGTAAAGCCATCTGAGGTCACGGACTCGAGGGATACCCCCTCCTGTAAAAGGTACCCCATGATGTCTGACAGGTGATCAGGCTTCTCTAATTTGCTGGCCAGGTGAATCAAAGTCTGGCGTTGCTTGGGCGATTCAACATTTATATCGGCTCCTAACTCGTGCAACTTCTTCATTGAGCCAAATCGATGTCTCCTGAGGGCCAGTTGTAGAGGATTGAAGTTTTCCTGGTTTGTTAAGGTTAACAGCGACGGGAGCCTCTTTGCAATTGCTTCCACCATATCTTCGTGGCCTTCTGCAGCAGCGATATGAATCACAGTATCTTGGGATGGGCCTGCTCGTGCATCGCTGAGTTGCAGACCATGTTCAAGTAGGAAGTCAAGGACTCGGACGTTTCCCCCCCTGCGCGGCAGCATGCAGTGGACCGTATCCGCTCTCAGTGATAATGTCCAACTTCGCACCGTGCTCGACCAACATGGTTACCAATGCGAGGTTTTTATGCTCTGCGGCAAGCATGAGTGGTGTATGCCCAGAGTCACTCGCCTGGTCACATACAAGGCCCAGATCAATAAGAAGCTTCACCACTGCGATGTGCTTTGTTTCGCCGCCGGGGCAGGCAATATGAACAGCATTCTCACCGCGGCTCGATGTCGCATACATGTTCGCGCCCTCTTCTGCGAGGTATCGGATGAAATCCAAATGCCCATGTCTGGCGGCAGTTAGTAGAGGAGTATGCCCAAGTCCAAGTTCCTTGGTGTTCAGATCATATCCATCTTCGACCAGGAGCTTTGCAATGCCAACACAGCCTCCGCGTGCGGCAAAGTGGAGTATGGTCCAGCCCAAATCACTGACAATATTCAACTCGGCACCATGAGCCCTCAGCATGCGAAAGGTCGATTCTGAGCCCCCTGATGCGGCCATCATGACCGGAGTACGGCCTGACGAATCGGCACAGTTAATGTTGGCGCCGTGTTTTAACAGAACATACATGACCACAACCTTATCACTCTCGGCTACATCGTGGAGTGGAGCAAATCCAGAATCTGTGACGCGATTCACATCTGCGCCAAGGTCGATCAGCATGGAAGCAAGATTAGACAAACCCAATCGGCTGGCACAGTACAATGCCGATTGATTTTCTTTCCCTCCAACATCTATAGGCAATCCCCCTTGGATGAGACTTCTGATGACTTCTGGTTGACGTTTCTGGGCGGCTACATGCAAAGCAGTGTTGCCCTCAAGTGTTCGACAATGGACGTCGCAGCCTGACTGGATCATAAGGTCAACCATATCGACATGCCCACATTCGGCTGCGGCAATTAGAATGGGACACCCATTAACCGTTTCTGTGGCATTGAGATTTGCTCCATGTCTTATAAGGAGCCTTGCCATTTCCAAGTCATTGGACTTGGCCGCAAAAGCGAGGGCGTGATTCCCAGGCTGCATTTTGATTCAAGATCAGCGCCCCTTTCCACCAGGAGAGCTGCTGCTTCTAGATTACGCTTCACGACCGCCTCACGCAGTGGCGAAAAGCCCTTTTGATCCCTGGTATTCAGTTCTGCCCCGTGATCAAGCAACTGTCGGATAAGGTGTGTATCGTGTGTCCCCACTACGTGTGAGAGGGAGCCTGTGTGGCCTGGGCCTAGGCTGTTTTCTATTTGCAGTAAAGTTCTGAGCAGTGCACCATCTCCGGAATCGACAGCCAACTTGATCAAGGATTTGTCGTTGAAATCATTCCTGTTGAAGTCATCTGCTGTGAGTGGTAGTGCACGAAGTGCATTTAACGCACCGTAGTCGATAGCGATGTGGATAGGCAGTTGTGAGTTCTCATCGCGAATATTAATGTCGGCACCATTGGAGAGTAGGAAGGACACCGCTTCTGCTTGATCAGCGGCGACGGCCTGGTGGAGGGCGGTGCGCGACAAATGAGTCTTATAATTGACGTCAAACCCCTCGTCGAGAATAGCACGGGCAATAGAGATCCTACCCTTCATTGCCGCGGTATGTAGAGCACTCCATCCATCCGAGTTAGGGGTCCTAAAATCCACCCTGATGTCGACAAGGAAGGCCACCAGAGATCTGCTGTCTTGTGCGATGGCCCAGTGCAATATACCGGCACCAAGATCTCGCTGGCAGTTGGTTCTTTCGTAAATGTATTTGCAGATTTTGGGCTGGAAGGCGGCAGCCTTGCTAGCAGCGATCCATGCATACGTCGTGTCAGAGTGATGAGTAGACTTGTAAGGTGGAGAGTCCATGATAGTTTTGACTGCTTCGAGTTGCCCGTTACTTGCAGCGACGTCGAGAGGGGATAAGCCACCAGCGGTAGTTCTCCATTCTAGACCAGTCCCATTATTCAGTAAATGACGAATGATCTCAATTTTACCTGCCGAGGAAGCGACATGTAGAGCTGTGATCCCATCCGGTGCGAAGAGGTCAGTATTGATGCCTGCTGTAACAAGCCCTTTCACCATTTCGAGATTTCCAGCCAGAACTGCTTCGTGAAGAGGCGGCAAGTTCCTTTTGCTGAGCTGGTTGGCATTGGATCCATGCTCAATCAGCGTTGAGGCCACGGAGCTGTGGCCACTATGCACTGCGCAATGGAGAGCCAACTCACCTTCCCAGTTTTCCCAAGCAACGGAAGCGCCTTGCGAGAGCAGGATGGTCACGAGGCCATTATGACCTGCTAGCGCGGCTAAATGCAACGGCGTATTTCCAAACCCTCCTTTGAAAATATCCCCTCCATGGGATATAAGTAGTGCTGCTATCGTCAGATGTTGCTGCAGTAACTGGTCATGAGGAACAACGGCGATGAGACCCAGAGGTGTCAGAGAAAAAATCAGTTTCGGTATTCACTGACACGCCTCTCTGGAGAAGAGACCGGACGGTAGAGGTTTGGCCACTCCAAGCTGCGGCGTGGAGAAGGGTCCACGACTTCTTTGGAACGACGCTTACGCCATTGATGTTGGCGATCTGAGCTGTCTCGGGGTCCCCGCCGAGGGCAGATATAAATTTTATATTGTAGTCGAGGATTGTGTGCAGGACGGCATCGTTCCCAGTAGCAGCCGCGGCGAACAGGACACTGAGAATTGGACGCCACAAGTCCCGTGGCCGATGGAGTTGAAGAAGTACCTGAACCATTTTCACATCGTGTTTCTCAGCTGCAACTTGCAGGGGAGTACGCCCGTGGATATCCATCGCCTCAAGCGGTAGGCTTTGGAATTTCCCTCGCAAAGCCACCAGTTCCAGTACCGATGGACTTCCACTAGAGGCTGCAGCATGTAAAAGGTTCCTCCGTGAATTGTCTTCAATGTTGGTCACCGCACCATAATCCAGGAGCAGCTGGGCGACAGGCAAGTTAGCATTACCTATGGCCACAAAGAGAGCAGTCTGGTTGGCCATGTCACACAGGTCGACGTGTAACTTGCTCTTGAGAAGCAGCTTCGTCGTTGCAGCGAAACCCTTCCGAGCAGCGTAGTGTAGAGGGGTCGCTCCATGGCTATCTCTCAAAGTGACAGAACACAGGGAGAGAATATCCCGTAATATCTGGATCTTCTCCCCTTCAGCTGCAATATGAAGCGATGTGCTGCCATCGGCATGGACGGATCGGGGATCTGCTCTATGTTTTAACAGGAGCCTAGTAAGAGCTCTGTCTTCTTGAGCCACGGCGTAGGAGAGGGGGGTCCACATCGACCCAGGTTCTCGAGAGTTTGGATTCCACCCATTCTGGAGTAGAAATTTTACGATTGTCTCATTTCCTGCCTGAACACCATCATGAAGAGCGGTCCGGCCCTCTCCAGACGAGCATTTCTCTCCTAGCAAATTCTGGTAAACACTGTCAGGATTCGATCCAGTGGCAGATCCAGTGGCAGATTTTCTGGTGGCAGTGGCCTCCCCGCTTTGAATGGCCTGAGGTGCAGAGGACCCTGTTTGTTTACTTTGCTGCACCATTACCTGCACAAGATGTGCATGCCCATTCATGATGGCACGCTGGATGGCCGTGCAGCCTTCAAGATCCTTCGAGTGAGGCATTGCACCCTTTTCAACGAGGAGTCTAACAATCGGCTCATTTCCAGCAACAGAGGCGATATGAAGAGGTTTCCAACAGCCACCTCTTAGCCCGTTCGGGCATGGGGACCTCATAAAGGACACTGAGCCTTTGGTGCCAAACGCAAGATCTTTGTTGACAGTGGTCCAACCATTGCCCTCATAGCTTGATGCGTTGATATCTGCACCGTTCTGTACAAGAAGTGTTGTAATGGCCAGATTATCCAGACACACGGCAAGATGTAAGGCGGACCATCCGCCGGGGATCCTAGAGTTGACGTCGGCATTTCCCAATTCTTTGTGGTACTTCAACAGTATCTGAACGCAACAGAAGCTTTGATTCAGCACTGCGAAATGGAGGAGGCTGGTACCATCAGGACACCGAAGATCTATATCGACATTGCGAAGGTTGTCCAACAGTTTTGTAAGAGCCGGTCCATCGTCAGCCTCAATGGCTTTCATAAGATTTGGTTGATAAGTTCTCAGCCCGGAGCTCCGCTTCGCTCCAGCCTTTGTGAGTGTGTCGACATTCAGGCCCGCGTCCAAGGCGATATCAAGCACAGTGGAGCCACTATCATTCTCAATGTTCAGAAGGTTTCCTCCGTGGTTCTCCACGGAGCCCTGGAGAGGAAAGGGATGAGAAGTTCGACGACCGACTTCGACTCGGGAGTACGGAGCTGTGCGAAATTGCGAATAGCGACATGAAGGCACGTTGAGCCATCGCTTGCTTTGCTCTCAAACGATGCTCCCTTTTTCAGAAGCCAGTCTAGCACCGAAGGTTGGACATTCGCAACTGCAACGTCGACCGGAGTGGCGCGGGTGAACGCATCAAGTGGTGCGGCCTCAACTATCGATGAGCCGGTGTCATGGAGGAACTGCAATAGACCGGATGTGGCACCAATCCTGCAGAACCAGAGCATCAGGTCCTCCGCTTGGGTGCCTTCTGATACATGTTTACGTCTGATGGCTTTTTCCAGTTGCTTCCTCAAATCAGCAGATGAAGCTTGCTTTCCAAGTAGTATATGCAAGGAGTGAATAGACACGAATAAGTCTAATAGTAAAGGTGAAAACCCAAACCACTTAAGATATTCATGTAGCAATAGCTTTATCCTCCTCTCTAGCAATACCGCCTTATTGTGGCTTAAGCAGTTCTCGGTCGTCTTCTCTCCCAGAGGCAGCAAATCGACAGAAACGCTTTTCAGGCGCTGGATGAGAATGTCTGCTTTGGATCCGGGGGTTGAGTGCAAGTGAATCTCGGTTTGGTCTGGCAGCGGCGCTATGGTTCCAACTTGACTGTGTCGCCGGTCCGGGTCCATAAAAATGGTGGCACCGCAGGATGCACTTGTTCGACTACTAAAATTTAGCACCTCCCATATTGTTTTGGTCTTCGTTAAACTTTATTACCCGTTAACAGCCCTGAGTATCTCTATCTCTTCACCAACTCCCTGGTTCGAGAGTAGCTGGTTTAAACATAGGGAAACATAAGGACACTCACTAAGCACCCCGCTGCAGAGGATGTAAAGTTTCTGCCCCTGTTTACGGGACATTTGAGTGAGAGACGCGAGTACGGGGGAAAGAAGTTTCTTGAAAATTTGTTCACGAAGTGTTGACGCGTCAACCAACATGTGGTTGTTTCGAATGTGTGCTTCTGGTCGGTCGGGAAATTTCCACGGCACTTGGGCAGATTGTGAGCAATGACGGCTTCTATTATGCACCCTTGGAGACTTACAACGCAACTTGTAGTCTTTGGTTCCATCAAATGTAGGCAAAAACTAAAGTATACTTAGTTCCTAGCCCATATTACTGCACAGCGACATACTTTTAAGAAATTCTCGCCAATCTAAGTGAAGCATTAGAATATCGGAATATTGAATGCGGCGAATACTGTCACCTCTTGTAGCTTATTGTGTAGCAGTGCAGGATCATCGTCTGTCTTGTCAAAATCTGCTTCTATCCGTGCTTCAATTATCACACGTAATGCATTCGAAATCTCCGTCTGGCTGAAGGTCTGAACTTCCATCGCACAAAGTCGTGAGTCTAAGGACAAATCCCCTTTCGTGACAAGGATTTGAGTAATTGTCTAGAAACTGTTACTAGTTATCCGAAATCCATCAGAAAAGGAAGCAGATCGCTCACAGTGAACCTCTCGTCCATGCTACAATGACATACTACACCACCGTTGCCCAAGGAGTGCTTTTTATTCTTACTGAAGAAGTAAACCAAACAGGCAATGGGCTCAGGTACTAGTTGCACCTCCAACCGGGGCTCCAAATCAGAGTCGACAAGCCCTAATGCCGAGGCCTGTACATGGCCATACCACGAAGGAGGCACCGAGATGGCGATTCTGTATCTAGCATTGTTTAGGGCGCCTAGCATCAATCAGCGACAAGAAACCTTCAAGTTCGCTTCGGATTCGCGATCACTACCGAACGTCACCTCGGCACGTTTGCGAATATGAGCTGCGAGGCTGCTCATAAACTCTCTAATTAGCAAGGCGGGACCGATGTTATGGTTTATTTGCGTTGACTGTTCGCCTTCTCTGTGAGTCAACATGGTGAGTATATCGCCATCAGATTTTATTTGAAAGCTATCTCGGCCGGTCCTCCTACATGACGTTCAGCGCAAACCATACAGACTTGGGGGAAGGGGTGCTTTACAGTCGAATGTTATCTTCCACAGGCGCGTCCGACTGGGAACAGTGACCCCAGCCGGTGGCCCGTTGTTCTTCACCATCGTACTGCAAGTGGCTGCGTTTGAGGTCAGATCCATCGTGGCTGCTTAGTACGGCGTACAAGCATCTAGGCACGTACAACGGTACAACAGCGTTCCTGAAACTTGCCGCTCCAGGGTAACCGTCAACCAATGTTGGATTGGCGTTCTAGAGCCATCAGCTATGTCTTCCAAAGCTCCAAGGGACGCCAAGTTACCTTCCCAGGCAGTAGATACGCCGCCGAAACAGTCAGACTGCCGAAACCAATTCCAATCTACATAAGTGAGTGAGTATCCGAGCAATACAGAAACGAATAACCATTTGTTGGAATGAGAGCAGCGGCTTACCAGAAGATCGTTAGCTGCCATGGTGGGAAATGGGAAAACGAAACGCCAAGCCTGATGATGAGCCTTGTTTTCATAGTCAAATTAAAGTTGCGGACATTCTCTGATCTGACCAGAAGCCTCGCGCATCGTCGTCTGCTGTTAATGCCATCTGGCGATGATTGCGCATAGGCTCCCTGACTTGGCACAGCCACTTGACGATCGACGCTCACTAAACCCCTTTCTCACTACAACTCGTATCCAGCGCAGCCCATATTGGTTATTAAATGGCGCCACAAATAAATGAGGGGTTATTCCATACAGTCCTCCTTCGAACCTTCTGTTCTGCCCAGCTGTCTGCTCTCCAGTCTCTCGTATCAATCCACCTACCTCTTGGGGCTTACCACGAGACCTGACATTAAAATTTATCCTTCACTTCTGTAAGCCACTATGGATGATGGGAAAATTATTGTTTGTGAAAGTGGAGTATCTGAAAATCGATTTGTGGCTGACTCGTGCCAGTGCGCCATCGACTTTGGTACTACGTACTCTGGAGTAGCGTATGCCTACGTCGAGAAGGATCAGGATGTCAGTCCTCCATCATTCATATGGGCGCTATATTTACTGACTTTTGTCAAGCCCTCTGATGTTTCAATCGAGCTTATTGAAGACCACTGGCCGGGGATGGGCAGCCAAAGCTCCCCGAAAGTGCCATCGTTCGTGGAACCAGACCCTTAGCAATGAAAAGAATGTTACTGAAAATCATGATTAGGGTCTTCAAATTTGACAAAACCGCCCCAGGGGGTTTCAAGTGGGGCTTTGAACTAGACAATGACCCTGACAGGATTTGCTACGCGAAACTGTAAGCGAACCTCCGTCCTTAACGAGGCCAGTTTGCTCACAGGTTAGACAACCCATTCAGATAAGCTGACTGAATAAGTTATCTTGATCCTGAACAGATACGTGCAGCCCAGACACTAGCTACATTTTCAACGAAACTGGGGAAGCTTCCTCCGAATCGCAAGGTTACAGATGGAATAACCAAATTCCTCGAGTCTATCCGTGCTCTAGCTATAGATCGAATGGAGTCAGAATGGGGCAAAGGTACATCCGCGATCATCTTTAGGAACCAAGTAGCTAACAGGACTAGACTTCATCCTCGACACGCCGATGGAAACTATTCTCACCGTTCCGGCCGTGTGGTCCGATAAAGCAAAATCGGATACGCTGCAGTGTGCACATCGAGCCCATTTCGGCCCTCTGGACAAGATCAGGATGATAACGGAGCCAGAGGCGGCTGCCGTCTACACATTTCACCAGGTTTGTTGCTCGCAGAAATGTGTAGATCGAGGGCTAATATTGAGAAAGCTACCAGATTCCTCTGTAAAAAAGGGCGACATATTCATAACATGTGATGCCGGTGGAGGCACTGTCGTAAGCACTAGTAGTGTATAACACATCTCAATCAGCGTCGGAGCTCTGATATATACAGGATCTCACCACCTACCGAGTCTTTGAGACGTCGCCACTTCTAAGGGTCGATGAGGTAACTGTTGGTAGCGGCGGGCTTTGCGGATCTGTCTATCTGAACCGCAAATTTGAGGCACTCGTGCAAACGAGGCTCGGAAAGGAGCTAGACAAGCTTTCCTGGTCAGAGTCACTGGATGCTATGGATGAGGTGAGAATCTTGAGACAATCATGAAATCTTGTATTAACATGAAATAGATGCAACAAGCTTTCAACGAAGACGTGAGTCAAGGAATCCCACAACGCGGGCAATACCCTACTGAAATGCCTAGTAGATAAAAATAAATTTCGGTCTTGATGGCTTCTCGGGGGCAGAATATAAAGTTCGCGGTATAACCCCCCCTCCCTGTTTTTGAAGCGAAAGGAGTCCCGTATTCTAACAGTCCATAGTCCCAACTACCATTGAACTTGAAGATGATTCAGACCTCGGAATTGAGAGTGGTAACTTAATACTGACAGTTGACGAGCTGAAAGGGGTGTTCGATCCGGTGATTGGCATGGTTATCGTGCTAATAAACGACCAACTGGATCGCGTCGAGGAAAGCCTCGGCAATGTTAAAGTTTCTGCGCTTCTGCTTGTTGGCGGATTTGGAAGCAGCGAGTATCTCCGCCAAGAGATCAAGAACCACTTCAATGGGGAGGATGATATTCCAGAGCTCAGGGTTATTCAACCGGTGAACGCGTACGTTTACCCTATATAAGATCTCCACTAAGATTTCAGCTCCAATTTATCATACAGGTGGTCTGCCGTCACCCGGGGCGCCATGCTGCGAGGAATCCAGGGTGACATTGTTGAAACACGCATCATCCGCCATCATTACGGTATTGATATGAAGGAAGTCTGGAATCCAGATGTCCACGAAGCTCCAGACAAACGCCGGACTGCTGAGTCGAACAAGTGGGGCTAATATACTACATATCATCTTGCCATCACGGAATGATACTAACCTCACTGGCAGGATATGGAATGCTACAGAGCAGAAGCACTTTTGCCGTAATGTCATGCGGTGGTATGTGAACAAGGTAATCATACCTCAGCCATATATGTTTGCCATTCGATGCTTATCAAGATCTAGGGTGATAAATTCACCTCAAAGAAAGTCGTCAGTTTCGATTTTTACCGGGCGCTCACCAACCTCGAAAACATGATATTTTCAACCGATTTGATCATTTACACCGGCTCGGGTGAACCTTCGTTCTTCGTCACACCTGGTAAGTTCTGCCTCGTGATTTGAGACGGCTTTTCGACTTACGGATGGACAAAGACTGCAGGCGCGTTGCCACTCTTAAGTCAGACCTCTCTGGAATCCCAGCCTCCGAGTTTGAACTAGTCGATTCCGGACATGGGAATTGGTATAAGGTCAGTTATGACATTGAAATGAGCTTCGAGGCAACTTTGTCATTTCGGCTTGTGTTCAAAGGTACAGTTATCTTCCATTCCACCTTAAGTACCGCAGACAGAGCAGAATTAACACTATACTTCGTAAAAGGCAAGGTCATTGGGCAATGCGATGTAGACTATGGAAGATGAGCTCGGAAGGCGTTGTATTGAGTCTGGTAAAATGTCTAGTCTGATGTGAATGGAACGGGTGGGGCCCTAGCAAGTCAAAGGCCAAATCGCACATTAACTAGTAGTTAATAAGGCACATACATAGTCACTATCTGCATCGTCTCCACTTTTGGTGTATCAAATGAAGTATAGTCATTTGGTCTTCTTAATATGCCAAAGAAGATTCAGCATGGGAAAGTCCCGGTTTTCGATATCCGAAATTTGATCTTGTTCCGATGACCTTTTCTGCTTTTCCTGATCTTCTTGTTCCTTCTCAGCCTTTAACTCCTCTCTATTCTGTTTCTCTTTTCCTTGCTTTGGCCCCTCTTCTATAGGTCCCATACTCTTGCGAACCACGATGTTTCCGTGTCGTGTCAGAGACACTATATATCTAATAATAGGCGACGAATCATCGATCTGTTCTTCCTCTTCCAGGTACGTTCGTACCAGAGAGTCTCCAATTCTGGTTTCGACTGAAGACTGAAGAGATCTCGCTCCTTGATCGCAGTCATAACCTTCTTTCGCTATTGCCTTGCAGATCGCACCATCTCCACGTAACTCGAGTACGATGTGCCCAACGAGCCTCTTGCCGGAGACCTTGACGGACTGCAATACTTGTCTCTTGAGCTCGAGAACGAATTTGTGGGCGACCACGGCAGCCTCGACGAGCGAGAATGGTAGAAACGGCACAACAACGGATATGCGGCCTGACAATGGGTTCTGTTTGTGTATTTTCGGTCAGCGACATCTTCATAGTGGGATCCAAAGAGAAATTTACCCCAAAGGTGGATTTCAGCTGTTTCTTGATAGACGATGTGAGATTCAACGTCAGTTCAGACCGGCGGACATGGTCTTCATCGACCAGCTCGTGCTTATGAATTTCGAAAAAGTCGAGGATGATTTCATCCGCTGCATTCGTAGCAAAGATCCAAATTATCTGAGAAGCATCGACAGGCTGGCGGTTTCTCCGGTCAGAATACTGGCCTATAAGGAAATTAGACCCCAAATAGGATATGACCAATAGCTCGTATCAAACCTTCAGAGAATAGTACTAAAAGCGCGTTTTGGACCTCTCGTGTGGTCTTCTCAAACTCATCGAGAAACACAACAGAGCGCTTGCCACTATTCCGAGCTAAGAAGTTATTCAAAGGTGATCCTAGCTCATGACCAATGTACGGCTTTTTAGGTCCAAAAAGATCAGTTTCATGCTTCATCTCCGTGCAGTCGATGCATTGGATGTCGAGGTTCAGAAGCTCGCCCATCCGCTTGGCTAACTCCGTCTTTCCATGCCCGGATGGACCTAGGTATTGTCAGTGGTGGCAACAGCCAAATGTGATTATTGATAACAGAGAGCTGAAATCTGGAAGGATGTACCTGTGAACGCCATGACCAAGGGTTTGGATCTGGGAAGAGCCAAGTGCGATATCAGCACATCTGAAACAGTTTGCGTTGCCGACGACTGGCCGATCAAGAAATTGGAAACTCCCAGGAGCGCTGTGGCGTTGTGGACCCTAGTGACTTGTGATTGCCGACCAGACGGAGCTTTGGCCTGCGCGACCTTCTCGAGAAAGTACCGTTGGCTCAAATTTATGGCGCGAGCCATCTGCTCTGCAACAACGTCCTTGCACCAAGATGTCTTTGGCTCGTTGAACCCGGGATACCGTTCATCAAGAGGTAGCCTCTCCACGGGATCTTCAAGGCAGGGTGAATACAAGACTCTGGGAATCAATGAGGCGTCAGCTCCTAGGCTAAGCAGGGTCATCAGCATCGAGGTGCTATCTTGGTTCGTGGCCTGTGTTCTAAGGATGACAAATGCCAGGAGAGGAATCCTAGTCTTCCGTTCAGATGCATTGACGTCTGCTCCATATGACGCCCATGCACGAACGGCATGAACATCATTCGTGGCAGCTGCGTAGAATATTGAAGGGACTCCGTAGATGTCGGTGCCTAGGTCGCGACTGACAACCCAATCGTCGAAGTATGATAGATATTGGTAAATGTTGACTCCTTGGCATGTCCGACCAAGAGAAGATATGAGTCGCACTGAAGAAAAAGGTAACCTCGTTCCCTCGTCGAGGGAAAAGTGAGGCTGGCCGGCTGGAATTTCCACGCTGGGTAACTCAAAATCCCACTTCCCATCCCGGATTGCAATCCCAGGCTCTTCAGCCGGCTTGTGGTAAAGCTTTCGGGATGATAATTCGGCAAATGACCCAGCCTGTGTCTAAGAGCGTTAGTATGTTCTTCACGATTGGCTCAGATAAGTTAGGGTAGGATTCTGGAGAGAGGGAGTCGGTACTTTGGAATCTCCTAGAGTCTGACCATTGCTCACAGACGTGTCCGGTATCTTCACTAATGTGGAGAGTCCTTCGTGCCTTCCCGGTGCTAGTATTAGTGGCTTGGGAGAATCATGTAGCTTCTCGGAGCCGGCAATTCGGCCAGGAGTTAACGGCGAGGCTTTTCGAGATATGATCTCGCTTGGGCATGTGGGGGATTCGGTGGGATTTGGAGATTGTTTGACCATAGGTAAGGCGCTACTCAAAGGCGAAGCTACAGACAATTAGTATGGAAATCGCCATGGTGATAAATAGGGTAATGATATGCATACTAATATGGACTGAGTCTTGCAGGCTCTTCACGGCGGCATCCCTGTTGCCCTTGTGTAACTAGGATAGACAGCGAATGTTAACTCTTGAAAATTAAAGCTCCCATGGGGCGGGAGAATTTATCAGTGATCACACACCTTCAGAGCCGAAGCTGCCTTGCGGCGCGAACATCCGCAAGTGTGAATAATGAAGTCAGCATCGTCTGCGATGGGGGGTTCTGGAGAAGAGCCTCTCATCCTTGGCGATATCCAACGAGGGCTTCCGAGTCTATAAAAAAGGGTTGTTCAAATATTCACGAAATCGTTCAAAACGTGTTGCTGGCTTGGCATGTAGTGGAGATGAATGGCAATGAGGCAACTTACGAGGCTGAGTTGACGAGGCTAAGTTAACGTTTGGTGGTTGGCGAGACATTGGTGAGAAATGATACGAGGGGATGACCCCGCTCTCCGTGTCTTTTGGTAAGTATTGCTACTAACCTCTAAGGCCCCGTCACTCAGGACGATTGTGCGGATTTCAGGGACAACAGATCTCTCAAGCCTTCTCCGTTATGGCCAAAGATCAATACTATCATGTCCCCCTCCCAGGTTCCCGGTATACTCGTGTCATCCATTTGGACCCTGCCACGGACCCAACAACGCCCATTCAATGCCGTCTACAGCACATTTCCCTCGATGATCATCCAGAATGGGATGGAGATTACACCGCAGTCTCTTACACCTGGGAGTCTCAAAGACCAAGTCGTTCGATTGGATGCCATGATGGGAGCTTGCTGGTCACCGTCACCTGCGAGGAAGCCCTCCGTCATCTTCGTCATGAGACGGATGTGGCCAAGCTTTGGGTCGATAGTATATGCATCGATCAAACAACAGGAGGGCTAACAGAGCGCAACTCTCAGGTTGCTCTTATGGGTCAAATCTATAAGTGCGCTCGTAAGGTTGTCGTTTGGCTCGGGCCAAGCGATGTCTATATCAAGACAGCCATAGATACGATCCGGGATCTTGTTAGTCCTCTGGAGGATGACTTGGGGCTAGACCGCAGAGAATCCCAGCGACAATTGCAGGAACGAGCCAGGGCTCTTTCAAGAAGTGAGTCGCAAAACACCCCTGTGTCAATGTTATGAGAAGACTGGGGCTCATCGGCATGATATTAGCTGTGGAGTCACAGCTCGAGGATCCTCTAGGTTTCCTCTTTGAGCGAAATTGGTTCCATCGAATGTGGACCGTCCAAGAAGCGACTTTGTCTTGGCTAGACCGCCTATCTGTGAGATGTGGAAAGTTCGAACTCGAATGGAGGCAAATTCTGCTTGTTTCTGATGCTCTACACTCTGTCAAATATCCATGGTGCAGGTGGCAAGAAGCCATGGGCCTGCAGCGGCAGTTCACACTCTATCTCACCGCTAAGCGATATAAAGGAGCTAAAGAATTACTGGACGACAACCCTGGAGACATAATGAACGACCCTTTAGTGTTTGCTATCTTTGAGAACGCTCGTCGGAAAAAGTCTGGAGACCCAAAAGACAAGGTTTTTGCTCTCTATGGTCTTTTATCAGAGCTAGAGATACCATTCCCCCTTCCAGATTATTCTCTCAGTGTCGAGACGGTTTACCGAGAAGCAGTTATGGCGACCATAAATTACGATAAGAATTTATACGTACTATACCATGTCCCTTCAGATCGACGCCGAGACACGCTGGCATCCTGGGTTCCAGACTGGGCTGAACATGGCTGGGAGCCGAGTGACCCGAGATACGGTCTTCTACGTAGCCGATTTTCGGCATCTGGGTCGGCTGATCCAGTCTGGAGGTTCTCGGAAGATGGCACTGCATTGATACTCAAGGGCGTGGTTGTCGATACAATCATCCTTCGCCATGAATCCCTTCTTGGTGAAGGGAGTGACCTGCGTCAAGTCATGGAAAGATTGAACACACAGAAAAGTGGTTCGCGGAATGGAAGAATCCGGCCATCTGAGCAGAAGGAGTACCAGCGCATCACCTACGAAGCCTTCTTGGTCTTAAAGGCTTGGACAGAGACTAGTCAGTGGTCCGACTATCCGACAGGGGAGCCCTCAAAGATCGCTTTCCAGCGTACACTCGTCAACGACAACCCGAAGTGTAATGCATCCAGTGCTCAGAATGATAATTTCGAGCGCTGGTATCATACTATTAATCTCGGAGAGTTGGACCTCATGGCCGCCGCTCTGCAGAACGAGGGGTTAGGTGATGATATACCCAAAGGCTCCTGGGAGCGAGACGCGTTTCTCCGTATAATGAAAGAGAGAACTAGCCCACCTGTTCAAGTTTTCTCAGCACTGCGGGGTTCAGGGTTCGGTTTCCACTCCCAGGCGATGGCATTCTCACAAAAGAAATGTTTCTTTCATACCGAGAAGTCTTATTTTGGTACCGCAGCTGACCCCCTTCCAGTACCTATTCAACACGGCGACAAAATTGTCATCGTCAGTGGTTTAGAAATGCCCCTAGCTCTCAGACCTGTTGAGGGTGGATACAGGCTTTTGACTCATGTTTATCTCCACGGAATCATGTATGGAGAGGCTTGGCCAGAACATGAAGATAACCTGGTGGACATAACATTGTTATAAACTTGAAGCATGTGTTACTGGACGAACCAGTCTCAACCTAGTACTAGTAGGCATGCGGCCTTACTCTGTTTGTTTGAAGTTAGACTCCTGGCCAGCTTCTCAAGGTTGCGATCTCGTGCCCATGACACCTTCTGACGACAATTTAGTCCCTGCTTGTCTAAAAGTCCTTCTTACGAAGCCTCGCACAGGACGACCCTATAACGGGCAGGAAATGCAGACCCGAGATATTGCATTGCGGCATCATATTCGATCAATTTACCAGGATCGCGGGTCATGGGAGGGTCTCATCCCGAGGAGTATTGAGACGTGGCCAGTACCATTGGCGGGAGATGCTGCTACTGCTGAGCTTGAGGGCGAGTACTGTGCTTCTTTGGAGACTAAACTCTACGGTTCTGCGCTGCGTCGTCTACCTGTCTTCAACACAACTGCAGAGGACCTGGTCACTTTTCTTTCCGTCATGAAGGAGGTTGAGGTAGAGGGTCTTGAAAAGAGACTTGGCGTGAGGATACCGGAGATGTTTTTTCCGGACTTGGAAGTCTTGAGAGTTTCTGCGATCGAGGCGTGGGGTCGGATGGTTAAACTTGGACAAATTTCAGCTCAGGATATATTGCTTAAGGTTTTTGATCAAGATGGTTTTCGTATCGAAAACACATCGAAACTTGAATACTTTCTCACGAATCAGACGGCCTGTATTAGAAACATCCAGAATCCGAATCAAACAACCATTTTCAGCCTTGTCCATGACGATCTCAAGAGTGAACATATCCTCATCGATGAATCGAGTGGCCGGATAACTGCCATATTGGACTGGGCGGATGCGGGTCGAGGCAATGCTGCCGTGCATGTTTCCGGGCTAGCTCTGACGGTGGGGAAGAGGATGGCGGTGATGGCTGCGGAGAGGGCGGGGTATGATGAAGATACAATCTTGCAAGGGTTGTGCAAGTTCGGTGTGAGTGTGCTTTGAGGTTAGATGATCGGTTGAATGGGCGAGGTGGGCTAGCTCCGGTGCAAATGCTGAAAGATCACCTTTTCTTGTCGCTAGAGGACTAGCACTAGTATTCTGCGAGTCTTTCTTGATACTACGGTTGAACAGACATGCATGATGGATCATATCGAAATCCAATTAGCAAAGAGCTCAAGTCCTCTGAACCCATATTGTACATTCACTCGCAGCCTAGCAAGCTTCCCCAAAAAACACGAAGAAAGATATGGTAAGAAAAGCGAGACGAGAAAAAGAAAGGTATATATACAAAGGCAAATCAAGCCAAGCCCTTCGATGATCGATCAGTCCGAATCCCTGAGAAATCAGGGCGGAACCAAGAAAAGGGTTCAAAAATAGACTCGCAAACACTCCTCGCTCCATTCCATGCATACCACACATGAGCCCCCGCACCCTGACTCGAAAAAAGCAAAACGAAACAAGAGTTAAAACAAAAGCCGAAACCTTACCCTAGTCAAGTCAAGTTCGAATTGAAATTCCGAGACAGTGGCGAAACCGGGGAAGAAAAAAGGGAAAAATGCCCAGCCTGGCGGAGTGGCGGTTCGAATGAGACGGAACCGAGAGGTAAACAAATCAAGTATCGAAAATGGATAATGGATATTTAACAGTAGGCGAACAGTAGGCAAACAGTTGGAATCAATGCGCTTTCAAGGCACCGAGCAAGTATTTCGGAGAATCGGATCTCGTCTCGTATCTATAAAGTGTTCTAGACGGTATTTGTTGGTGGGGTAGTCGATAGGGATGTAAAGTGGGAAAATAAAAGGAAAGTTCTGTGTCTCATGCTCGTTTCCAAATGTGTTGGTCAAAGGTGAATTGCGGTAGAGTTGCGATGCTCAAAAAGGAAGAAAATAAACAAGGATGAAAGTTCAGTGTTTTTTACAAAAAACTCTCAATCCTTGTCGATCTTGCCGTTCGATTCGCCAAGGTGGATCTCTTCGTAATTGGGACCGAACTTGTTCCGAACTGTTGCACAAGAGACAATATCGTTAGCTAATCAGATCATCGAACTCATCAATCCGAAACCGCGATGAGCGGCTCAGGTCTATTTTTGTACGCGGGAGGCTACAGGGATAGTGAAACATACAGTGCTCGGCCTCTACTCGGAAGAACACCCACATCCACCGACGAGCCACTTCGAGGAACATCAGAATGAATAGGCCGCATTCCGTCTCGGTGATCCATGACAGCCCTGGAAGGATGCGCCACAGCCAGGAGAATCGAAGGGCAAGGTCGGTGAAGATCACCAAGTGATACAAGCGATCTGAGTGGAAGCAGCGGTTGAATCGCAAGCCGTAGGGGTGGCTCGAATCGCAGCGTTCGGAAGAGAAAAGGGTCAGGTCCCAATCCTTAACCACATCCCACCAGAAGGAGTAGCTGGAGTTGACGAAGGAGGCAATGAATCTGAGAGGAGGTAAGAGATTAGAAAGACTAGAACTTTATGCGAATCCAAATCCGGGGAGGGGAGGGGAGCAAAGTCCTTACAGGAGGCGCATAATAGAGACCTCGCTGTAGCCATGGAAAGTCAGAGGGCTATAGTTGCGGAGCTTGGCGGCCAGCCAAATCACGGGGAAGGCAGTGGCATATTTGAGGGCGTTGGCTAAATGCTGGTTTGCCTTGCTGGGGACCCCGCGTCGTGAGGGTGCTCGACGAGCCCGGAAGTATTCGGTTAAGCACTGGCGGAGTCGGATGGCGCTCGGGACGGCCAGAATGATCGGCACGACGATTTCGTTTCCGCAAGCCCGGTTAGGCTTGTTGGTGGAGTGCCACCCATCGGTGAAGAACATGCAGAAGGACACATATAGATCGGCAAGCACGCGGGCATAGCTCGTGAGGGCATCTGCCAGCAGAATATCACCGAACTTGGCCTCTGCGTTCTCGGCCAGACCGCCAAAAGCAACCCGCTTGAAAGCCAGGAGGAACCGTACGCGGCCGGACCGGGCGGCTCTGTTGAACGGCCATATGAGAATTATGAGAAGGATGACGAAGACGGATTGTGGAATGAAATCAAAGTGTTCAACCAGCTTGAATTCACGGTGGGTGGCGATCCAAAAGGCGATCTGCCAGATGGCCAGGGGAATGGTGAAGATGGCGGCCAGGCGGTAGGCGGCGGTGTGATGTCGTGGATTTGTGGAGGAAGGATACCCGATCAGATCGTGAATTTTCTGTAGCAAGGAAGGCCCGATCGGTTAGAAGGCAGTTCGAACAGATAATTTGGGGGATGTTGAATGTTGGCCAGGTGGTCGATCAGAGGGGTTGCGATTGCGGATTGCGGGTACGCCACACTTACGATGTCGGTCCTTTCGAGATACTGCAGGATCATGGCCCATCCCCAGAAACCTGGAAAGGAAGAGGTTAGCAGTTGACTCTGACCCTGTCCATGATCACGAAATCCACGTACCGGCCACCATGAGGGCAGCTACCCGGATGGGGAATGGGAAGGTCCGCCCAAACCCATCCAACTGAGCATGTTGATCGGGCCCCATTATTCCATGGATGAAAGGGAGAAGGGATCAGGGTGATAGGAAGGGTTGTCAAGTGAAAAGTAAAATCCCCGTGGGGTCAACACTCAGTAACAAAAAAGAAAACGAATGACTAGGGGTGAGGAAGCAAGAAGTGGAATAGGAATAGATTGGATTGGGATTGAAACGGTAGATTGCCGCGTCCGCTTTCGGGTTATTAAGCACGGCCAGTCCGCACGCAGAGTCCGCACGCAGAGTCCACTGCAGTCCAGGCAGTCCCACTGGATAGCCCAGGGCAGCCCAGGGCAATCCACAAGTCCACTGGTAGGCAAGTTGGGGCCACTGCGGACGCAACACTCGACTCAAACGCGACTAGTCTGGGCCTCGCTGGAGCCGGTGGAGATAGTTTCTCTGCACCAGAGCGGTCGCCAGGCCATGCGCGCGCAAAGATCCGCAGCGATCGACAGTCAGGGGCGCATCCAGGTCTTCCAAGGGGAGTCGCTAAACCCACAATGGCATCATGGTGATCCCTGCACCCACTCCTGTACGTCTTTTCACTGGTTGAGAGTCTTCGCCTGTGTTTGCCGAAATAGCATCAATTTCGAAAGGTACATGCTAGCATGTATGAGATGTATGAAATGTAGTCGAGTACTGAATATGAAGTAGGAAGAATGTATCCGTGTTCGTATAGAGTCTGTACTCTAAACAAAATGCAGTAGTCTTTCAAGTTCTTCATGACAAGGATGATGGTGGTGGTGGCTGATTTGGTGGCTGCCGGGTGCAGCCGATTAGGTAATAGTCACGTGGAGACCGTGACTGTGACTGTGACTGTGACTGTGACTGTGTCAGGTGACCTTGACCCCCAACTGCCTCGGCTGTCGCGGTGGGCAGTCCGGGGATCGGCCATCTCCATCTTGTCTCCGGGGAAAGCTTCACTTTCACTCTCCTTGTTGTGTGTGTTGTGTATGGAGTAGCTGGGAAGGCTCTGATCACCAGTGTGACATACATCCAGTCAATTCCAATTCCTTCTTGATCACTCTCACTCTCACTCTCACCAACACCAACACCTCGCCCACCATGGCCGACGACGACCCCCATCTCTCCCTCTCCACACCCAACACCAACTCCCTCGGCTCGTCAACCTCCCACTTCTACCCCTTCGCAACTTCCCCAGATATCATCCGCTCTCATGAGAAAGATGCCTTCTGCACAGGTGGTCTTGTCCAACAAGCCCAATCAATCGTGCGCGCCCTCCGCGGAGCCCGCTACGCTCACGCCCACTCCAACTCTATCAAACACATCACCGAACTCATCTACTTCTCCCTGACAACCGCCATTGGCAACCGCACTCTAGGCGAAGAATACTGCGATCTAGTTCAACTAGAGGATGACACCCTCCGCCTACCAGCCATAACCCGACGAGTCGGCTACATCCTCAGCACCATCCTAGTTCCATGGACCTTACAACGTGCCCTGCCATCCTTCCGCCAACGTGTCCGCGCCAAACTCGAACGCAGCATCGCAAAGCAGCAGTTCCGTGCCGCACAACAAGCAACTCTCCTCAATAAACCAACCCTCTCCACAGCCGATGCTCCCAAATCCGCATCAGCGTCGTCCGCCCGCCGCTTCTTCACAAAGCTACGCCTCCAGCAATATATCCTCGAACACCTAGACTCCCTCACATCCGTCTCCCCGATCTACGCCCTTAGCATAATCACCTTCTACTTCACAGGCAGCTACTACCACCTAGCAAAACGCATCTGGCGCCTGCGCTACGTCTTCACGAAGAAAATCGACGCAAACGAGCAGCGCGTCGGCTACGAAGTCCTCGGCGTCCTAATGGTCCTTCAAATTGCCGTTCAGGGATTCCTGCACGTCCGCAAGATCAGTGCGTCCGCTAATGAGGATGACTCTTCCCTCGCTGCAGGCGACGGGGATCGTTCTGGGGCCGGAGGTGGTCTGATTACTTCCATCCAGCACCCGTCCGCGGTCCCGTTACTACCTGCTTCGGCCGCTAGGTATGATCTGGAAGAAGAGCCTGGTGCTGTGTCGTGGATTCCGGAGGGTCAGCAGCGGAAGTGTACGCTTTGCTTAGAGGTCTTTAAAGATCCGAGCGTTACGACTTGTGGACATGTTTTCTGCTGGACTTGTGTGAGGGATTGGGTGAGGGAGAAGCCTGAGTGTCCGCTTTGTCGGCAGGAGGTTCTGCTGGCTAAGGTTTTGCCGTTGAGGGGGTAGGTCCTCCAGAGAAGAGACAGTGCATATGTTGTGCATAATGCTTTTTCTTATGGAAATTCTTTGCATGTTTGTATATACTTGACTAGATCACATGAATATATACCCAGTGACGCTATGTTCCAAGGCTAGTACTACCGGAAATAATCAAAATGAATCTTGAACATACCTCGGTATTCAGGGCTACTAACTACTAGTAGTACTAGTGGTACTACCCTTGGACTCTAGTACTCGGAAGTTCCAAAGAGCTCTGGAGATTAGGCACTACTGCTACGTGTAGTACTAGTGTTCTAAACTTGGAAGGTGTTCCAAGGTTGATCCTAGGCCTAGTCCTACTACTGGTTCTCCACTTGTAGGCGGGTGGCGGAGACACCTGGCATGCACAATCTATGATGGATACCTATTTCGATTTGTCTCATCGCGGAAACACAGGTACGCATTGCCCACCTGCCCCCTTGGGTGCCCAGGGGCCCAGGTGGGCATTGTGCGGTTGTCCCAGGGAACAATAATATGTCTTGAGCAGTGTCCCAATAGGGTCGCCCGCTGGCATATCTGTGATGTTTACTGCAGTCGAGTTCCACGTAGACTCGGAAAACAGAGTGAAAGGAATCAGAGAGAGAGATCTAGCTTGTTGGCTACTGCTATTTTCCGCGGTGACTTCTTGGATTAACTCCGAGTCTGCTCTTCAAGTTTCATGTACTTAGGCTCATGGGCTCATGTCGACTGAAAAATATACAGCAATCCATCTTTATACACAATCACTCAAGTGCCCACCTGGGCAGGTGAAAGACTCCAATGGGTAAACATTAACATCAAACAAGACGAAGATGAGATGAGATGCTATGCTCGCTTCTATATAAACCGATAGATGCAACAAAATGACCAAAAAAAGGCTTTCAAAATGCTGAATGAATACGAGTATCGAGAAAGTCACTGAAACGAGATCAAGGATGGCCATTTAAATCGACATCAGATGGTTTGTCGACGATAGCTTCCTTCTCTGCATCACTCGTTATTTTCTCTCGAGGCAGAAGAATAGGCAAATTGAGTTCCGCATGCGCGGGGCGAGGCGGCATCGGATCCATAGCCACTCTCTTCTGCTCCATGATGTTGAAAAGACAAATGCAAGCGTAGGGGTCAGTTGCAGCGTCTTTAGACAGAACATCTGTCAGCACTGCTCTGAAGATAGAGGGGATAAATTAGAACAGGGAAATCACTTACACTGGACTTGGCGGTAATTTAACGGACGAGCCCAATCGCCACAACGCACATCCTCACTCTTCTCAAGGGGCAATCCGAAATGCTCCTCCATCTGCTCACTGAGATTGACCATTCGCTTATTGACCAACTTGGGATCCGTGTGCCCATGCTTGACGAGCTTGAACAAATGACTAAGCTCCAAGATAGAGCGGGTGTCTATGCCGAGGAATTTGCGAAGACGCGTTGCGTCCGCTTTGATTGAGACGCCGACCTTTGTGACATCTTCCGACTCGAGGATACGCTTCAGCGAAGGTGCGACGAAGTCGTCTAGTGTACGCGCTGGCTTGAAAAGGGCGATTTGGAATAGACCGATGCGCCCTTCGTTTGCGATTTGGATCATGGAGAGATTGTTTTGGATCGTGTCGGAAGCACTTGCTTGTGCTTTCCACTCCATGTCAAAGCCGATGACTTTGCTATTGAGGAATAGCTGGGCAACTTCTTCTGTGCTTTCGAGGGACCGGCAGTAGTGGACTATAGGCCTTTGGCCATTTGGCCCCCGCTGTGAACTACAGTTCCAGAACCGGGTGGGTGTCATTCCGTTGGGTAGAGATGCATCCTCTGTCAATGGGGAGACGGTCCCGGTGGCCGAAAGATTGAGATCGGATGGCTGCTCAATTGCAGCCTCAGGCTGGCTGCAGTCTTTGGCCCTGCCGAGGGTTGTCGCGAGAGTGCTGCATTTTCGTTTAGAAGAATTTTGTTGAAAGAAATCAAGAGAGTTGAAGAAAGAAGAGACACGACTAGGGGCCTTTGCTGAATGATCGCTCTTCGGAGAAGGTATCTCTGGCTTCTTCTTCAAATCTGGATGCTGCCTCACGGTTTCGTCCACGCTTTTGGAGACTTCTTTTCGCTCACTGTCTCGCCTTGCACGAGCTGACTTGCGCTCCTGTTTCTTTGCTTGCTTGCCACCATGAGTGCGTATTTCAGCGCGAGAAGCAAGCTGCTCAATAGTCATATTTTCGGAATCTTTGAGTGACATTTTCCGGATTTCCCGTAGCTTCTTTGCTGCCTTAGGATCTCTGGCTGGCGTTGCCTGTTTCTTCAACGGCTTGTTTGCTGCTGCAGTATCTTCATTTGTCTTTATATCAACGGGCCACGGCTTCTTTTCTGCAGCAGAGGCCTTTTGCTGGTTCTTGGCAGGCACTGTGGGGCGAATTCTTCCCCTGCGTTGGACAGGAACGAAACCTAAATTCATAGTCTCGGCACGCCTATCAAGGGCTTGCTGCCTTTCAGCGTCTTCGAGAATCTGCAGCCACCTTTCCCAGACAGCGCCATTGCTAAGAGGACCCCTGTACACCTGAAGGGCCCTGCGAGGAATCCAGGAGGAATGGATCGCCGAGGTAAGCTTTCGAGTCCAGTCATCGAAGAGCGGGAGGTTTTCGCTCAGTGGACGCGGCACCACAAACAAACCACGCTCTTGGATCTCATTCTGCCGATTGTTGTCGAGCAATTCTTTCTCTAATCCAATGCGAACCCAGTTGATAAATCTATATTCCTCAAGCTCCGCGATTAGATCATATCGACTTTTTCGAACTCGTGCGACAAATCCGAAAAGGGCGCTCTTGTGAATTTCATGCCTTTCTGGTTCGATATTAGACCATAATGGTCCTACCTGGCCAGTGAAAGTACCCAGAAGATAACGAGCCTCGTTATACAGAATATCATAATGTTTCAACTGGAGGAAGAAAGGTGCCATGATATCGAGCTGCCGCCAATGCAAGTCGAGTTCTGGCGATTGGGCGGAGATTCCGGGTTTCCATTTACGCATGAACATCATCCGAATACGACTTGCGTGTAAAAGAGGGCGCTTCTCAAGCTTTCGCTTTGCAGGGAGATATTTTTTATCGTCGAATAGCATGGCTTCAATTGGCTCAAAATCCGCAGGTGGTAACTCGGCCGGCGAGTTGGTTATAGTCCACGGCTCTGCCGCCCTAAGAGGATCGAGCCTTTTCTGGCGAGCGAACCAGGCATGGCGATAAAAGTGCCCCGCATGATCGAACTCCTGCAAATAATCTTCGAATTTATCGCAATATCGTTTAAATTTTGGCCCTAAGAGACGGCAGTCATGTCTGATTTCGAGCAAGCCTTGCTTGGCGGTTTGGTGCTTTTCTCTCAAGATTTGGTACCTGAGTCCAAGACCTGTGGAGTAATCAAGAAGTCCATCAATCCTGTGCCGCGCAATGTCTCGAGGCCGAATAAACTCCTGGTAGAGCTGGTTTCGCAAATCCTGCGTAACACGCTGCGAGTGCATGACCAGCACGGTGCTTGCCATGAGCCGTAGCTTAGTGACCTCACGGATAATCTGTGATACATCCTTGGTCAGATCTGGCACCTGGCGGAACGCAACCCTGCAATATTCGTCTTCCAGAGTCCGGCAAATCTCGCTGCTCTGCAGTACTTGATCCTCGATCAGGGCGACCAGCGACGAAATAACTGCGTGGTACTCCGTCTGAAACTGCATGTTGATCGCCGCACAGTGCAGTATATGATCCTCGAGATGGGCCCATTTCAATTGCAGAAAGTCACGACTCAACTGAGGCAGATTGAGCGAGAACGCCAGGCTCGCCTTGTTGTCAATTGCTCGCAATTCAGCCGGGTTGAAAGGTTTTGGAGGCGGAGGAAGGGGTACGTCATTTCTTCGAGTCCTGATAAGCTGTGCTAGTTCAGCTTTGACCGGCATGGGTCTCTTCAGCGGCCGTTTTCCAGTTCCTCCATAACGTGGGGTGGGGGTGGGACGAGCAGGCGGTTCCTCTTCCTCGTCCTCTTCCTCGAGCTTGATTCGAGAGCAGCGTGTATTCGAGAAAGGGCGTACGATTCGTGAGTTGTTTATTCGTCGACCTGGTCTTTCTCCTGTGCGGACGGTTCTTGGGGAGCAAGGTGCTGCATAAAGAGTGGAGTATTGAGCGCTGTGAAAGCCATGAATGTCAGTAAACTAGTATTGAAAACGAATCCCCAGGAGTGGAGCACAGACCTCGAGCCGAGCGCTTTTACCGTGGCAGGGTTATTGCAGCGACGATTGCAGGGACTGTAGTGAGCTGGGTAGGCCGAGGGCGCACGCCTCAGACTCGCCGGAAGGCTCCCCCAGGTCCGCATGCTGCGGAGCAAGCATAGTGGGTTTGCAGGCGAGAGAAACTCAGTTGGTCAAGACACATAAAATGCCCTGGACCAATTCAACTGCGCAAACAGTTTAATTCACCGATAACAGGTACTTCTCGAGAAATTGTGAGCTGTGAAGAAGTGCAACTTGAAGGTGCGGCAACAAGCAGTCACGCAGCGGAGAGGGGACACCATGCCTATTTGAGACTAGTGTTGGCGCCACGTGATGCAAAGAGATCGCAGCTCGCCCGACGGCCGATTTTTGTATATACATCCCTTTCTCTGCACGCCTTATCAATTCATTGCTGGAGCAAGTCGCTGGAGAATCTCGTCAGGTCACGCAGATCTCACTGAATACCAACAATCATGGCCTCCCAACTGCTCCTCTCTGGTGAGTGTTCAACTGCCCCGCCATCCGCGAGAAACCCCGCTAACCCTTCAATAGAGCTTATCGACAAGTGTGTCGGCTCCCGGATTTGGGTTGTGATGAAGGGTGACAAGGGTAGGTGCTGATTAATTGGGTGATAGAGGTGGACTAAGAAGCTAACATGACTTACAGAGTTCTCCGGTACCCTTCTCGGGTTTGATGACTACGTCAGTGAGTATCCCTTCCTTTCTATGAAACAAGTTGATGGAAGAGTATGCTAACAAAATCTGCAGACATGGTCCTGGAAGATGTTACTGAATTGTATGTACCCTGCGTGCTGTGATTCGCGAAGTGACACCTGGCTGCCATATTCGCGTGGATCACCCCAATGAGAGACTTTCTCAACATATCATCGCGACTAACTCAGTTTTAGCGACTACACCGGTGCCCAGATCAAGCTGCCCAAGCTTCTGCTGAATGGAAACAACATCTGCATGGTATGGCTTACCTCTAACTCCCTCTAGGTGCTCTACTGACCCTTTCCAGTTGATTCCCGGTGGAGAAGGCCCTACTGCCGGCGCATAAGCGAGCTTGCTTTTTCAACATAACGAAAAGAACTTTGTGTGTTAATGATACCGAATGCAATGACATGAAAACATCAATAGAATTAATTGATTCAACCAAATTCCTGATGATCTTGTTCCTTTTCCAACCCTTAAGGATGAAGACGCGCCAGTTTCTGGAACTATTTTCAGTTCACCCCCTTTATTTTATTACTCCCAAGAGATAGCCAAGGAATTGGTATGCGCCTGAGGCTTCAATGTCTTAGACGTTTACGAAGACTTCTTGCCAAACGCGCCTCGGGAGCACTGCGCCGATATCACACCAGTTCTAGAAGTACTTGGCGCGCCGTCACACAACACACCTAATCTCTCTCCAATCACAAACCCAGCGCCACTCACAGCCCCAATGCACACTGTACGCCTTCAATTGCCGCCACCTAAAGCTAGATGCTTCAGCTAGCTTAGCGGCGGATATAGACGGACATCCAGGAACCCCTGTTGTACACGTCGGGCGTGATAACCGGCTATTCAGCTAATATCCATGACACTGCTACGATTAAACCACGCGTAATAAGGGAATTGGAGGCTCCACAATCACGGGCTTTTACATTCAGATGGAGGGGGGTGTGGCTAAAGTGTGGGGTCTGGATACGTAGAACGAGGGCCGAATAAACTGTTTCCTGGGATGGGTAGCCCCAGTTTCCCCAGACTGAGGGGAATAGTACAGAACGACAGTGCCCCGCGGTCGAATTCTCCTCAATGAAATCATGGTGGATCGCATATGCATGTCTAAACATACTCCGTACTCCAACACCTACCTTCTTTGATGAACGTGCGTGAACTAGCTGCGGCAACTAGTTCAAGTTAGCCACCTCCCGGCCCGGGGTGAAGATCACAACCATGTTGGAAGACAGTCTGGGGTAGACCGAACCGGGCCGGTTTATGGGTAAGTTGAAAGACGGGCAAAGCAAGGTTTTGCTCGGGATTTTAGGATCTATTTTAGCCAAGGTTTGATGCATATATGCATCTTTGAAACGAGCGGAGTCCATGTAGAGTTCAGGATTCATGATTCAAGTTTTTTATGATATAGATTACCTAATGAATAATCCAGTTGGAAATAATACAGGAAGTAGTAGCAAGGAAAATCATTTCTAAACAGAAGAAGGCTGTGAGCATTATTCTTGTGTCATGAAACCCGCAAATAAGACAAGCAGAGAGGGAAAAAGCGAATTATGTGGGGGCTCAGTCGGACCCCTTGGGGGATCTGATGCCAACACTGTGGCAGCATCTGACACCCCAGTAACAAGATTGGGCGTTAATTCGCGCAAAATAGCCTGACAAAGTGACCGAGTCATCATTCGCATCATTCGTCAAGCTGTGCCGTGTGAATTGGTCTACCCCAGAAACCTGGGGCGAAAGTGTGGAAACTGTTACCTAACAATTTGCATCTCCCCGCATTTTGTAGGAAGAGCTAAAGTCACACCGTCGGCGAGTGGGACAACTCTAAAGCGACCGGGGATTTCGCTTATCCAGCGCTGAAAATGTACTCACGTCTTCCTGTGCTTTGCGATTCACTTGGCGAGTGGCGATTAGGCAGAAGGGATTGCATGACCCATAGGCGTGAGTCCTGAATCAGGTGCAGTTCCGGTGGTTAGGGTGGCTGTCTACTCCGTACAAAGTAGAGAGATGGGATAGACCCGTACCCACTTATTCTTCACTTCTGTAGCGGTCTACTCGTATTAGTTAGAGGGTGATATGTTCAACAAACACAGAATAGAGGGAAAGGGGGCGGATGAAATCATAAGATTAAGTAGTATCTATCTATGACTGGAGGATATCTCCGCCCCCGAACATCCCAGTGAATACCAACATCCACGATCGCATCGCATCACCGCCATCAAATCAAAATCCAAAATATCAAACAAAAGACAGCCCAGCTGCAACACCCCGACCGGCCTTGGCTCCCCTACAAAGGCAATGCTCGCCCGAGGAGCACGCGCACTGCCAACCCAGCCCGATGCAACCGTGGCTATCTGTCCAGCGCATGTAGCCAGTGATAGCGCCAGTTGAACGCCATCAAAAAGGGGTGGCTGCCGTGGCTGAAAGTCAAGCATCGCGCGCAAAGTCTCGAGTATCGGGCGCAGTCGCAGGAATCGCTGCATCGAACCTGAGCTGAAGAGCTGATTCCAGAACCCCTTGCGAGCCTGCGATCCTGCTGAGGGTTCTATACAATAGAGTCGGGCGTTTGGGACCTAGATTCTGTCTGAACAGGATCAGCACTTGGCTAAAGGGTTCTGCTACGATAACGATGTTGCGCTTGCGCCCAGGGCTGATCTGACCAGCTCCCTTCCCCCATATTTGGCCAGACCCATTCTCTATCGAGTTAACTCCCAGCCGCAAAGGCATGTACATATGCTTCTGGAAGGATTTGGTCGTACGATCTACAACGCACCGTTTGAGATCAGAAACTTTTCAGATCTCCCCTTGCAGTTCGCTACAATTCTCCCCAACCAGGAGAAGAAAAAACAGTCCGGGCGAAGCTAAGCGAAGCAAAGCAAAGAAACTTGGCAGCTGCCGAGACACGAGAACAAAACACTCAATTTACCAGACCTGAGCTCGACAAATTCTTGATGATCCGAGAAAAGTGTGCCCAGACATCTGGGCACTGGGCGAGTACACGAGAATTCAAATGCAGTATCCAAGCCGGATCATCGAATGATCGTGGCCGAGGCGCCGCCATGCCGCGTGATACCTATGGGACGCATACGCCGGGGAATACTCGACAACCCCATGGTTTAGCATTGGTTCTCCCGTGCTTCCATGCATATCAGTGGCAGAGTGAGCGACGAGCGGGACGAATCACGGGTGTTGGCGGATACCTCACAGCGGCCATCGCGCTGGCGACTTGCCTCGGCCAGTGATTTGCACTGACACGACTTGGCGATAGTGACCCCAGCGACCCCGACCAAGTCTATCCAAGACCCTGAAAGACGGAGACCGGAAGATTCCGTTATATTAGCGCTTAAGAACTAGTAGCTCCTAGTAGTTAATTACTCGCTAACAGGATGAAGGTGGTTTTTCCGGGGTATACACATGCGTGCGGCGTGCCACGCCCGATTCCGATCCAGCCTCGTATGTAGCCAGGTCGCCTCTTTTACCACCTTCCACACAGGGATCTGGAGATTGCACACATGCGTGGCCACATCCCATGGCGCCCAGCAGGAACGGATCCCCGTCGGGAAGCCTTCCCATAGGTAAGGGGGCGGTTGTTGGCTGAAAGGAAGTGCTTATCCCGTCCGGCCGCCACCATCCATGATTCGACTGATTCAACGGGTGGGAGAGATGCAAGAAACTTGCTGGGTTGGAACTCCCTCGAGATGATTGGGTCCCGAATAGACCCCAACCTGGACCGCCCCAGTAAAAAAGGAAAATGAGAATTCTATTGTATGGATCCCCCCCGAGATGAGATGGCAGGGCCGTGACCCACCCACCCCCCTTGGACCTTTGACCTTATCAGCCTACCTATGGTAACAAACCAGTGATTGGGCCAAGATCGCCTATCGCTGAAAGTGCGGAGAGGCGGCCGCATGGGGACTAGTGGGGGGCACGATCCCTGCCGTTCTGGTGTTTCTAATTGGGATGTGGCGGTGGAAGGAAGCAGGGTAGATATGGAGAGGGAAGAAGAAAGGGAGGAAAGACAGAGATAGACACCCCGATAGAAGTAAGGGCCGAAGCAGACGCAGGGTCGTACCAGGGGTTGAGGTTGAGGCATCGGAGGTGTCAACCCATGTGGTAGTCTTGAACCACGGCGAGGCAAAAAGTAAGCTGGGATCAAACCGTAGCGTAGCGTATCGGCCACACCGGGGTTAGGATCGTCCCGTTCTGACATTCCATCTAAATCACGCGAGTGATAGGTGTGGGTGGCGGAGAGACGCACTAGTGCGAACAAAGTCCGAAACAGTGAACATGCTGCTGCTCTGGTGGATGCGGTTCCACTGTGGGCATTTCTTATCGAGTTGAATAGATATCATCCCATACAATGACAGATAGCAATGATATTGTTCGCGAATAGTTTCGAAATGCTTGATGCAAGACGGGGGTTTTCAAATAGCTATTTCCACAATTTAGGACAATATCGAGAAGAGTAGGGTCTACAATACACTCCGGAGATGTACTGGAACTCTGAAAGCAGCTTAATTCCCCCAAAAAACTCTCGTCAGCGCCAAGGGCATCATTGGATCACTCGATGTCCGCCAACTTTAGCCTCGACCATCTGTTGTCCCCAAGCGCGATATCAGTGCCACCCATTGGCCCGATCAACCTGCCAGAGACTCGACCGCAAGAAATACCTCTTGAGAATGCCTGGCCTCGCTTTTGCCCGTATTTAAATCAACTTGCATCCCCCAATTTCCTCACTTTTCTTTCCTCTGGTAGCCTCGGTTCTTCCCCCCTCCCCCCCTCCGTCCACTCCGCCCCTTTTTACTTTAGCCTTCAGAGTAGTGACCTCAGGCGCTCTACTTAAGGTAAATTATTTAGGATTTGCCTCTAGAGTCCTATTTCTGGGAAAAGTTCAAACCCCTCTTTTCCTCCCGATAAATCCACACCACCCTCTCCCTTTGTTTCAACTATCTTCCATCATGGATGAGAAGAAGTTCGAAGAGAGTACGGTCCAGACATCGTCTCCGGACCAACTACCTGCATATGGAGACACTCATACCACGAAGGGCAGTTTAGGCCAGCGATTCCTTGACAGCTTCAAGCGCGACCCTAATGCCAACGTCACGGGCGGCCATTCCGAGGGTGCTGATGGATCTGGATTTGATATCGAGGGCGCTGCTGCTAATACGGCCGCGTCGCCTCTGCAGCGTCGGCTGAAGGGTCGTCATTTGCAGATGATTGCCATTGGTGGTTCAATTGGTATGTTCCCATTCTCTATAGTATATGGGTCTCTTGTCTCGAAATATCTAACACACCACAGGTACTGGTCTCTTCGTCGGTTCCGGCTCTGTTCTGGCAACTGGTGGTCCCGCGTCTCTCATTATCGCCTACTGCCTCATCGGTGTCATGTTATATTGCACTGTTCACGCTCTGGGTGAAATGGCCGTTCTTTTTCCTGTTGCTGGTTCGTTCTCTCACTACTCGACTCGTTTCGTGGATCCCGCCTGGGGCTTCGCCATGGGCTGGAACTATGCCCTTCAGTGGTTGGTTGTTCTGCCTTTGGAAATCGTCGCCGCGTCCATTACGATAGATTACTGGAATCCAGGCATCTCAAATGCGGCCTGGGTCGCAATTTTCTGGGTCATGATCGTCTCTATCAACATGTTCGGTGTTCGTGGATACGGTGAAGCCGAGTTTGTCTTCTCCATTATCAAGGTTGTTGCTGTTGTGGGATTCATGTACGTTTCCTCTCCTTTTCTTCTCATACTCTCCTACCCTAGGGTAGGAAGAAGCCATGTTCGGGCAAATCTTCCTTCACTATAAGACCTTGCTAACCTGTCTCTTTTCCTCTTTCTAGTATCCTCGGAATCATCCTCAACTGCGGCGGTGGCCCCGAGGGCGGATATATTGGTGGAAAGTACTGGAAGGACCCCGGCGCGTTCAACAACGGCTTCAAGGGTCTCTGCAGTGTGTTCGTCAATGCTGCCTTCGCCTTCGCCGGAACTGAACTGGTCGGTCTGGCCGCTGCTGAGACTGCCAACCCCCGCAAGTCTCTCCCCACTGCCATTAAGCAGGTTTTCTGGCGTATTGCTCTCTTCTACGTTGTCTGCCTGACCCTTGTTGGTCTCCTGGTTCCATACACCAACCCGAAGCTGCTTTCGGGTAGTTCCTCAGCCGACGCTAAGGCCTCCCCCTTCGTCATTGCTATTGAGAATGCCGGAATCAAGGGTCTTCTTTCGGTCATGAACGTTGTTATCATGATTGCTGTGCTGTCTGTTGGTAACTCATCCGTTTATGGTTCCTCCCGTACTCTTGCTGCGTTGGCCGAACAGGGCCAAGCTCCCCGCTTCCTCGCTTATATCGACCGCAAGGGTCGTCCCATCTTTGCTATTATTACCGCCTCTCTCATTGGTCTGCTCTGCTTCTTGGCTGCATCTGATAAGCAGACTGATGCCTTCAACTGGATGATGGCTATCTCTGGTCTGTCCTCCATCTTCACCTGGGGCTCGATCTGCCTCTGCCACATCCGATTCCGCCGTGCCTGGAAGCTGCAGGGCCACACTCTGAACGAGCTGGCTTTCCGCTCCCAGCCTGGTGTCATTGGTTCATGGATCGGGTTTGGCTTCAACTGCCTGGTCCTCATCGCCCAGTTCTGGGTCGGATTCGCACCTGTCGGCTACGCCGAGAAGACTGCTGGTGAGCGTGTGGAGAACTTCTTCATGTCGTACCTGGCCGCCCCCATTGTTGTTCTCTTCTACATCCCGTACAAGTTTATTTACAAGACCAAGTTTGTGCGAAGCCGGGATGTCGATTTGACAACCGGTCGTCGTGACATGGATGTTCAGCACTTGATTGAGCAGGAGCACGCCGAGCAAGCAGCCTGGCCGATGTGGAAGAAATTCTACAAGCTTTTCTGCTAGATGGACTTTATTTGCGGTGTTGGCCGGGAGCTTCTGTGAAGACTTGTGGTCTTTCATGTAATACTTTCCTATTTATTTAGTATTTTTGCACATCTTCCATCTTCGATGTCTTATGACCTTTTCGATGACAGATACCATAATCAAGAACACATGATCTTTATATGCAATATTTTTCCAGGTTCAAGTTCTTTACTCGTATTCGCAGTTTCTTCTTGCTCCCGGGCTCTTTTGCACTGTTATACACTTCTGGAATGTGCGTGCGACCCACGACTTTGCCGATCCTTGGAGCCTCCAGACTTGGCGTGCTCATGTCTGGGGCTGTGTAATCGAGTTACTTACGCTGGTTGGTACCAGAGTCATTCGGCCCCAGAACTCCTGAGACACGGGCTTCTGCAGATGCAGAGAGCTGTCCTGTTCCTGTTGACTCGGTCGATATCAAGACGTAATCCAATGCAGGTAGACAACCTGAATAGTCGTACCAATTTCAATCAAGCATACTGTACTCCGTACTCCGTACTCCCTTTTTAGCTTCTTTCCCCAACGGCCAGGATTTTCCAAAGCCAAAAATAGCCCGGGTGGCTAGTGTTGTGGAGCCAACAAGGCTGTTGTACGTTAGTAGTTATACACCACTGTACGTGCGTACCTGTACCTGCGTACCGCCAGAACGTAATATTACAAGCCACCTGACGAACCGCATGGGAATTCATCAACATCATCACCGTGACTCCTGTTGAATCGCTTCCCCTCCCCTTTTCCTTTTCCAGGCATCCTCTTTTGTTCTGCCATTGCTGGGCTTCGCATTGTTTTCTTTTGACTTGGGCCCCCCATTCTCTTCATTCACACACACTCTCTTTCTCGTTTGTTCCAACGCCACCTCCGGCGCTTACCGTGCCGCGCGACTCGCATTCCCCAGTCCACCGACCCCGGGTTACTCGAATTCCTCGATTGATTTATCGCGCATTTAAACGACATCCCCCAGTCACTTCGCTCTCATCTCCTTCGTTGCCAGTCCGTTGGTTTTCAGCCTTGTGCGAAGATCCCCCCGTCCGGAGAAGACCCAATTTCAGCCCCGACAAAGCTGAACTTTCGGTTCCACCCCGAGCTCGTCTTTTCATTCTTTGCGCCCTCTCGATCTCGTCTCCAATTCCTCCCATCTCCGACCGATTCGAATCTTCAGCTCCGGCTTCGCAATCATCGCTAGGGTACTTCACATCGTTGTTACTGCTCTTTGAATCTACGTGGTGTTCCCCGTCGGCGTCGGCTCGGTAATAATGCCTGGCTTCGCGGACTCTTTCTGGACCCCCGATTATGCCACTGGCCTCGGGGTTCTGTATGGGAAGTTGCAACAGGGCGTTACGGAGAACAGGCAGATTTTGACCATTGCGTCTCTGCGCGCAGATGCAGAGGAGCAATATGGTCTCCGCATGGGTGAGATCGCGCCAAGTGTCGATCGCATGACTGCGACGGGCTTCGGCAAAGATGACGGAGCCAGTGTGAGAAAGGTATGTGACCCTCGCAAATCCACAAATCAATGCTTGGGCTTTTTTTGGGAAGGTTTTCTCTCGACATGGACAAGAACTAACAACTGCATGGATGAACTAGGCATACGAAGGTGTCCGAACCGAGATGGTCGAGGCCTCCCGCAACCACCAGAAAATCGCCAGCAACATTCGGGAACTTGTCGTGGCGCCCTTTCGCCGATGGGCCGACGGTCACGACTTCCGTGTTCAGACCTCGCATGATACCCTCCAGGCACGGATTAAGGAACACTCGAAGCAAGTGGAGGTGGTAAAGAAGTTGCGGAGCCACTACTTTAACAAGTGCCGTGTGGTCGAGGACCTCGAGGAGGAGAACAAACTTGCGTTCCAGGACCCCGAATCCAGCCCGAAGGTCAAACCTACACCGAAGATTGTGTTGCCTTCCGAGGAGGAGCCCGAGGAGGAAGAAGAACCCGTTGAGCTTGGAGATCGAGTCTACCCGCCAGAGGAGATCAAGGGACTCTTGCTCCACATGCTTAACAACATCAAGTTGGGCGAGTCAAAGGTGCCTATCATTGGAACGTATCAGAACACCTCCACTGGTGCGGATATCGTCGAGTATCTCCAGAATCATATGGGTGCCACCAACCTTGCCCAGGCGGAGCATCTTGGGCAGGAACTGGTCGACAATGGCTTCCTTCGCTTGATCGGTAACATGGGCAACACATTCGCTAACAGCTCGAAAATGAACTACCAATGGCGCCCTAGGGTGTTCGAGATCACTGGTATCCCTGAAAAGAAGCGGCCCTTGATGCGCGTCACATCGGTGGCTTCTAGCGAGGATGGAAGTGGAAGCGACTCGCCTATCGCATCTGTCTCCGAAATGATTGCTGGCTGGAACCCATTGAATAACCCGTACCCTAACGAGACCCCGGCCGAGAAGCTGCGACGTGAGGCTGGTGAGGCTGATGAGCGTTATAAGGGAGCTATCCGCCGACTGGATCAAATCCGGTGCCGCTTGGAGGAGGACGTTATTGATAACTTGCGCTTCATGGAGCAGTGCGAACTTGATCGTCTTAAGGCTATCAAGGCTGTTGTGCTCGACTTCTCTGGCGCCATCAGCAATGTCATTCCCAACCTCCAGAGCACCGTCGATAACATGATGCTGTATCAAGAAACGATCCAGCCCCTAGGAGACTTGCGTTATCTTCTGGAGAACTACCGCACCGGTGGCTTTGTCCCTCGTGTACAGGCGTATGAAAACTACTACGGCTCTGTCGAAGGTATGCTCTCCATACCACATAGTTGAGGACCAAGGCTGACTTTCTTAGAACAAAACTTCGGTGTCGATCTTGAGGCCAGAGCTCGGGTTGACCGTAAACGTGTTCCCATTCTGGTTACTACGATTTTGACTTATCTTGATAACCGTGAGTCTAGCTTTCTAGAATTTCCACAATGCGCTGTGAAACTAAACATTCTTAGAATATCCCGAACTCGAGGGTGATGAGGCTCGGCGTGGAATCTGGCTTCATGATTCCTCGTTAACTACGATCCACCAGCTGCGTTCCGCCCTGAACAATAGCAAAGTGGATTACCGCGAAATCCTGCCGAAATTTGAGATACCCACCGTTGCTAGCGTTTTGAAATTGTACCTCCTTGAATTGCCAGGTACGTTACCCCCGCCTGATAGCTCATAGTAGCATGGATCACACGACTGACAACTTCAGACTCTCTTGTTTCTTCTCAAGTCTACGAAATCGTCAAGACCATCTATTCCACCACAGCTCACGAGACCACGGAAGAGGGACGGATCAAGGTCTTGCAAAGCACGCTTGGACAACTCCGTCTCGTTAACATCGCCACGCTTGATGCCATCATGACCCACTTCACACGCCTGCTTGACCTGACTTCAGCCGACGAGCAGTATACTACCTCCCTCGCTCAAAATCTCTCCGCCTGCGTCCTTCGTCCTCGCTTCGACAGTAGCCTGACCATGGACGAGCGCCACGCCTATCGTCTGATTCGCGATTTGTTTGCCCACAAGGATGTCATTTTCGGTGAGCTGAAGCGCCAGTCAAGTGCGCTGGGCATCTCCACATCCAGCCGCCCTCGTGCCATCAGTACCGACGAGAGCAACCGCCGTGCAGCAATGGAAGCCCGTCAACGAGCCATCGCCAGCAAGAGCCGAGCCACCAGTCCCGCTCCTCGCCAACGACACCGCCGTGACCGATCCAGCGGCGCCTCTGAATCTACCCGCTTCCCAATCAACGTTACAAGCCCACAAGAGCGTCGCGCCCCAGTCGCCCCAGTCCGCAATAGCCTTGACGTGCCCAACGAATCCCCCTCTTCCGCCGAGCACCCCACCGTCAACACACAGTCGGAGGAAGTCGAGTTCGCAACCGCCATGAACGGTACCAGTTTCGTCGACTCTCCTAGTGATGTCCTCGAGAGTAATGCTTCATCCGGCTCTATCAGCCCTCCCTTGCCAGAGACAGCGTCCGACGGCTCGCCAACACCAACCCCCACGCCCGCCCCAACATCTTCTGAATTCGAAAAGCGCAGCTCCGTCCCCCGCTCCACCGCTCGGTATGCCCGTAAGCCCGGTCTGGGCAGTCTCTCCAACTTCCCCACTACAGCTACCGCCGGGACGGATAGCAACCGGAGTAGCATTGTCGAGGAACCCAAGGGCGTGACTCTGGAAGATAAGCCCATGGACGATTAAACCTGTTGACTGACGGGATGAATGTCTATTTCTATGAGGAGATTGAGCTTTCTTTTTTACTTTATTTTGTGAATTTGGATTGCGCGTACGGACGGGTCTTTGTATAGATCCAATTTTTCGGCCCGGTTCTTGCTTCATGGCTTGATTCGATTCGGCTGGACCCGGACATACGTATCATTAGGGGCTTGCGCATACATATCATAACATACCCTGCCTTGCCTGTTTTGTTTTGTTTTGTTTATTCGATGAAATCCCCGCTACAGCCACCGGAACTTTTGCGTTTCATGCCTGTTGTTGGGGTCGGTATGGGATTGAAATATTTCTTTTTCTCTTTTTTCATTATTCAAGCCCGATTCTCATGCTCATGCTTTGATGCATCTCTTTGTACCTGGTTTCTTTTTGTTGATTGTAGCTGTGTATGTATATGTTATTTCTCTGCATAAGATCTGTGGACAAACAGTTTCACACCTTTCTGCATCATTTATTTACCTCCACGTGATAATATAGATATGCCTCGTTCAACGTATATGATCTGGAGCTGGCAGCTAGTACAGCGCTCTATATCGGCGACAGGCCCTATACCCTGTCTAAATAGTCTAAACAGTGGGCAAAGTACTAGTATCGATTAAGAATGTCAAACAAGTGTCATTATGTTAATGAGCCTCCGAATAGTCTAATGGTATTGGCCTTGATCATTCCGGGGGGGAAGAGCGAGGAGGTTTTGAAGAGACCCAATAGGACCGGTGCGTGCCTACCTTGTCTTTTCGCCTTTTTTGTTGCTTCCAGGTCACAGGGTCAAAACCGGGACACTACATTCTTTTAATTCTTCTGGTTCCTTCCCTTTTTGTTTTGTTTGTTGCCTTCGACCTAGTCCATCGTGCCTTCCAAATCCAATGTGTATACCTGTTTGCTGCCTACACCGCCATTCTTTCTGCCGGTCAAAGTGGGGCTACGCTCCATGGTCCAGGGCCCAGGTCCATGGATCGCTTCAAGTTAGGTTCTATCATCAAGGTGAATTGTCTCATTGAACTGTTTCTACTGGAGTGGGAACTTGAAAAGCAGGATAGCACCCTGGGTTGGATTGCCTCCAGTGAGTAACTAGCCGGAATATTCGACTTGAAGTTGTAATTTACAATAAAGATGATGCCTGCTAAACTATATAACCGCAACAAAAGGACAGTCAGATCATAATACTACATTATGGGAAACATCGCCATGCTGATGCCATGCCTCTATCAATCTCCCAGCATCTTCTTCGGACATAAGCTTCGGATCAACAAACACATCATACAGCCCCTCATGAGATCGTTTAGTCTCATCCGCCCTATATCGCACTTGCGTGAAAACATCGGAAACGTCCAGAGTACCCGATTGCTGAGAAATCAAAGTATCCAGCAACATGTGAAGGAAGACACCAAGTGCAGCATCATACTTCGTCGTGGTTTCAATGGACGTGAAAAACGACTCCATCCGTCTGAACTGCTCAAGGTAATCCGAAGACGAGGGCAGAAGATACGTTCCATCCAATTTCTGTATAGATGTAGAGCCAGAGACTCGGTTTGGCGACACGACTAGGATCGGCTCATCTGAGTCCTTATTTTCCGAGCTCGACGACGAAGGAGGTCTCTCGGTGATAATTTCTTCGAGTTTCGCATTCGCTTCATCGAATCCAACCTGTGCGTGGAGTTTGATATGTTGCTCAGTAAAATGGTAAAGTAACCGTCTCCAGACAAATTTCTCAATCTGGTACGGCTCAACGTGCTCTAAGAGTTCAGCAACGTGGACAATTGCTACAAATCCATCGATCGGGTACATCAAAAATGACGACTCTATCAGGACCGCACTTTTGGGCGAAAATATTAACCCCACGGCTTTCTGTAGTGACATTGTCTCGTCCATGGTGTAGGACATTGGTGTGCCGGCCGGAGTGAGGCCCGCGGCGATAGCTATTCCAGGTAGCTCGGTCAAGGCTCGAGCGCACCACTCGAGACTTTGGATAAGATCGTATGAATTTGGTTCATCGCTTGCGATTATATCTTCGATTGTTGAATAGAGTGAGGAAAGGAAGACAAGAAGGACGATTCGTTCATGGAACCGATTTCCAAAGGCTTTGAGTAGAGTGTTTGTCCATTGTTGTCGATTTACATTCTCGGCCAGTGAGACCAATGGTAACGCAGCGTCGATACGCTCGCCGTTTGGTAGCTCCTTTTCTTGAATCAAGAGCCACGCGCAGGCGTCGCAGGATGTCAGTGGTAAGATTATGTCTGTTTCCGGGTAGTTTCCAAGGACCATCGGGTATTTATGTTTGCCGTGACTGTGCTTTTTCGGGAAGTTGGGGGTTTCTTCTTCTCCTCGGTACTTCTGCAGTAGGAGTGTCTGAATGACATCTTCTTGTCCGCATACGTAGCAAGTACTGTAGTTTGCTTCTCTCAGGTACGAGCTGCCGTGGAATTGTCTTCTGCCTTTGAATTCATGGAGAAATAGAAGATCTTGCGCTGCTGATGTTATCTGTGCTCTGCCCCGCGACATATACGGAATATGTCTCTGATTGTTTGGACTATGCAAAGGACTCATCCTCTGGTCTCTAGCATGCCCTACTGGAGGGGATGTCATGGGCATCAGCATTGCAGGAGAACTCGTCCCACATTCCTTGTATGTATTCATGGTGGTAATCACATCGTCAAAAACCTGATACATCTTTGTCGACAGGTCTGACTCCGAGTTGAGTTGTTTTTCAAATGCGTGCCAATTTTTGGCGTGTTGGTCATGAAGGTTGAATTTCAGACCATTTATAGACTCCGATGATGTTCGGATATTCTGCCACATGAGCTCGGGCTGATCTGCGACAATACTTTTGCGAACAGCGTGTTCCAGGATGGATAGCAGATAAAATCTCGCTTTTCCGCCCGAATCCTCACGTCGCAGAAACATGAGACTTTGGGATTCTCTCGCAGTGCGAGCATTAGAGATCCACGATTTAACCTCTGTATCTCTTCCGCGAGTTTTCGCGGCCAGAATGATAACATCCAGAGCCGTGTAATCGGAAAGTAGGTCCATTTTATCCGCATCTGACATATTGTTATTGTAAATGCTGTTCATGTCGAATTTCCGTCCATCCGGAAGTAGCACTGTGTCTTGAGATAATTTGGTGGCAGCTGGTACCCTGACCCGTGCCAAATCTTTATAGTCGATTCTGACCAAGTCGGTCCATCGTGTCCACTTCCCAAAAGCTGCAAATCGCTTCTCTTTCGGCAGTAGCGTCGCGAAACAGCCTTTTGCCTGGAAGACATAAACCTTTTCACTTCTTACGTCGTGGAAAAGGAATATACAATGCGGAGCGACGGCGAAAACAGAGATACCCACGGAAACATTGCATGAAAATGGAGAATGTGTAGCAGACCCGAAAAGAACAATGACACAGGCTGTGCCATGGATACCAGCTCCCGGAAGCGCGTTGGCAAAACTGTGAACATGGGGCTCATCGATCATTCCATCCGTCATGAGGAACCAAAGATCCGAATTCTGAAGTTGAGATCTACACGCCTGATCTTCCAACAATACCGCAGGATTAGTTCCACCCCTCGATCGGAGATCTTGAATTCGATTCAGTTTGACAGGGGAGAAGGCGCAGTGAGACCAGGGCAATATAGCTGAGTTCGCTTCGAGACCTTGTCCGGTCAGAGTAGAACAAACTGCCCGGATCGCTTGTTTCTCTTGATGGAGAATATTCCCACTAGTACTGCCTGAAACATCCACTGCAAATGTCAGTGGTATTTCCTGCAGTGTGGGTGATGTAACTTTTTCGCCGGCTGGAATGGCAATCGGGGCTGAAGGTTTGGCTGGGACGGGTAAACTTGAAGGAGTCTTGCGGTTCCGTGAAGATGAACTTGAGGGCCGATTAAGAGTAGACCCAGATAGGCCTCTGATCGCAAGTTCGACAGGGAGCTCTGTGGAACTCCGTGGAGGCGTTTCATCGCCTTCCGATCCGGACGGTGTGAAGTGGGATAATGGAGATGGTTCGAGAAGGTTTCTTGATCGATCGCCGCGAATTCCTACAAACAAGTATCCAGATGATTAGTTGGACTTCAGATTTCGAAAGAAACTTGGAGGGTCATTACTGTCTCGTAAGCCCCTCAGGATATTATTGCTTTGGGCGCTTTTTCGTGGAATGGGGTTGTTAGGTGTTATTGGGAATTTCGGGGTCCCCATTTTGAAATGTTTTACAGAAAACAAAGTTTTAGATCAATGCAAAGAAGTGTTGTGATGAGTACAATCCTCGGTCTGGATTATGATATAGAAATATGAAAAACAGGCAGGGTGTTAACCAACCCCAGCTTCAAGCCCACCTCCCCGCTCATTATGCAAACACAGCCGGAGCGCCACACATTTTCAATTGGCTGATGATAATAGAAGCGTCACACGGAACCATTTCTGGGGGAGTAGCTCGACGACAAATAGCGCCAGGGAGGCACCGGGGGCGCAGCATTGCCCGGGCTCGCAGTTGGCGTTTTGTCTATGCGAAAGATAGAAAAGGGATAGCCGTGGTGAAATGCTGTGACAGATTGGTTTGTGTCTGCCTGTGGCTCTTCCTCTTTCATGGGGTCTTCACTTATGTCACTGTGTCGGTTACCTGCTGATAGACTCGATTCCGGACTTTCGTCCAGCCACATTGAGGAATGTTGCTTCGCGTAGCGCGGCTTGACCCTGGTTTTTGGCGGATTATACTGTGTCGCGATATGCGGATGCGATATATGAGGGACTTTCATTTGCCCCTGTGAAGCCTCGTTGCCTGAGATCAGTGGTAATTTCCTGATGCTCTTTGAAGTTGCTGGAATCTGATGAGGTGATAATCGGGATTGATTGTTCAACCCCGATGTCTTTGTCGATGGACGTGGTAGAAGTGTCCTTCAATGCATTGTTTGATGTTGTTGGAATGGTATCATTCTGCTTTCCTTCATCTGAAGGCAGAATCCATGAAGCATCCAGAGCTGAAGTCTGAGATCTTTCTTTGCGTCGACAAAAACCAGGCATTTTGGGGGCGAGAATTTGCGAGAGTATTTTCGAAATACGAGGTGCAGATCTTGAGGGTTTTGTATAATGTAATACCCAATGATAATCACAGGCTAAGATTGCTGCTTGTGGGAGCGGGGAAAGGAACTGTCAGACTGAAGAGAGGCTGACTGGCGCTTATGCATTGACCTTTCACATTTCGATGCAGCTGATAACCAACTGGGTTACCCAGGCTCCCCTGGGGCTTCTGGTAATAGCAACCATAGGTCCCTTCCGTGTCACCTTTATGATACGACGGGCTCTTATGAACCACAATGGCTTTGTATTCCAATCAACTCCAGATATGGATTCTATGTATCAAAATGGGCATGCTCCTGAGCTGTGAGTACTCTTTGATGCGTGTCTGGGAACACCTCTCAATCAATTTTCTAGTGATCATCTAGATGGCAGCACGACAGGCTCTGCTTTTCTATTCCTCAGGAAGCAGCTATCCGATACAACATGTGTCAAGCGTGCAATTTATACCCCCGATTCACGAGTGATACAAGAACTAAACTCCCAAAGGGAGATCGAGTCTTGCGTTAGTACCTACTAGTATCCTGAGGTTATTTCAAGTGCAGAAATTGACCTTGAATGTAGAATAGTACACATGCAAATAATTCAAGCGAGTTCTTGTAAGGGGTTGGAAATATCTATTCAGTCCGCGTCCAAGTCAGCGTTCATGAACTGACGAATGTAGCTTTATACACAAACACCTTGTCCATGATGGACAGGAACAGCCACCGAAAGACGCGCATCAGCTCCGTATCTCCGCCTCATGCTTTCAAACCCTCGTCGATAAATTGCAGATACCACTCAGTTTCGTCCTAGCCCTCTCACATCATTATCTCCCAAACGGACGAGGATCACGAAAAATCCAAATTCAAAAGACAGAAGCATTTGACTTTTGGTACATCCTCCCAATCCGAGTCCAAGTTGGAGCCAGTAGCTCGAGTAGTAGTTCCAAGGTCCCAGAAGAAGCACGAGACCCAACACAAATGAACCCATTCCACAAACTCGACCTACCCGACATAAAACTAAGCATCCACCGATCATGTATAGGAATATTTTCCCGCGTCCTGCCCGGCTCAAAACGCACAACATTCGTCGCATTCGACTTCATGCACGGCCGCTGGACAAAAGTCGCCCTAGAACCAAGCCAACGAATCGACCAAGTCATGAACCTAAAAAGAAATGCCCGAATGGGCTACGGCTTCGGTGCATTCAGTCATCTCGTTTACCTTACCAGCACGACGCGGTGGTGGACACATGCGTTAAACAGTGTAAACGAACAATTAGTCGAATACGAGGCCCGACTGCAGACTGAGCTAAGTGGCTCGCATATTACCCCGGAAACGGTTTTCGGCGGTATCAATCAGGCGCTGCATTCTATTGCGGCGCATTTACATCGGTATATTTCGGAGTTGAAGTCTTTGCAGGGGATTGTGGTGGATTTGGCTACGCATTTTGATGCGCTTTGTGCGGATGATGATGAGGATGAGGGGTTTAATACACTTCAGCAGGCTTCTAGGGGGGTTTAGTCAGGTTTCTTCGCAGGTTGAGGCTTTGCATGATTTTACGAGGGAGTTGGAGAAGAAGATTGAGAATAATCTTGCACTGGTTGGTTTCTTTTTTCTTTCTTTCTTTTGATGAGGGCTTGTTTCGTGCCATCTAACTTGCATATCTTAGCTCTTCAATCGCATACAAATCAACAGTAATAGACGACTTGTCGCAAATGGACAGGATATGCAGGCTATATTAAGTGCAATGCAGGAAGATACCATTGTCGGTCGTGAGATGGCCAAGGCTTCGCATGAGCTTGCTCAAGAGATGAAACGGGACAGTGTAGCTATGCGAACTGTGCGTACAAAGTGCTTTATGAAGACGTTTTTTTTTTACTAACGTGTGGCTTCTTTTTCAAGATCGCTGTCGTCACGATGTTTTTCCTCCCGGGGCAACATTTGCTGTGAGTTTCAACCATGAGCTTCGACTTTTCATCCCTAAAAATGCAGGGAGAATCACCAAACAATGCTAATACTATATAAATCTTGGAAATACAGGCTCTATTTTCCATGCCGTTTTTCAGTACCAATGAATGGCTAGCGGAAACGTCCCGGTTTTGGGTTTGGATTGCTCTTACACTGCCTTGTACAGCAGGGTGCTTTCTCTTTTACTATTCCGTGTCTCGTTCACGGAGGAAAGAGGATGAAGCAATAGAGCTGCAGACCCTTTCTAATTCATAGATTATATAATTGGGGAGAACTTTGAAGTCAGGAATTATTTTACTAGTACGGAGTAGTATCTTCGAAGATGTAACTTGAATCGTATTCCGTCGTCTTAATCTCATATAGTCGACCTGGTCACTCTATATCGTACCTACTTTGTACCTTTCTCTCGCGCATCTCTTAGGCCCTACCCGGATTGACTTGACTACTTAATCCAGGGGCATAAATACCCACTAAGTCTATCGTGAATGCTAATTTTCTTATGTTGAAAAATATTGTATTGGCATTAATCCATATGGGTACCATCGAACAGACAGTTCAAAACCAAAGGTTGATGGAATGAGTTCACAAAAGGAAAGATCATAGAAACAAAAGAGAATCATAACAATGGCGCTAAAACATAAAAAGATGCAGATCGAACGCCAGAAATGCCAGATGTTTATCACGAAAGAAATGTCCTCTTCAAAGGACGCCAAGGACTCCAAGCAAGACGACAACGAGAAGGAAGTAAAAGAACAAAACAGAACACATGGGCGGAGCAGGAATGTCTTTAAACTAAAGACCATCACCGCGAAGGAGTCGTCGCAGGATACCCTCACCAGGACCCGCAATTTGGCCCTCGATTTCAGACTGCGAGACGAAACAGAGAAGACCTTGTTCATCCATGCCCTTGTGCGGCGTAGACATGACGCTGCCAGACTTGGAGGGTGTTCGACGGACATCAGATCCACCACCGAGGGTACCACCACGACCACGACCCTGATAATCACCGACGAGACCCATAGTCTCTAGGTTGCTGAGGACGTCTTTAAACTCAGTAGAGGTGAGAGGATGAAGGATGTTGTCATTGCGACAAAGCGTACAGTATGTATCAAATGCTTGCTTCACAGTCGGGGCCCCGGATCGAGATTTGGACGGGGTGCTGGGGATATCGAATTCCCGGCGCTTGCGTTCAAGAGCGATCAAGGAGCAAATTGCAGCCTTCTGTTGTAGATTGAGACCTTTGAGTCTCTGGATAGTGCCCTGGCCGAATGCAGATGTGGTGATGCGGGCGACGTGGGCAATGCTGGCACGAGGTGCTGTCAGAGAGTTGTAGTTGGCCATGAGAGGGGGTCGGGGCGCGGGAGTAGGCTTGAGGCTTGTTGAGAGGTTCTTGTTCTCTGCAAGAACCGAGGCGTCGGCCGCGTCGGCCGCTTGTTTCTCTAGCTTTGAATGGGTTTCCTGCTCGATGGCATCGATTGCACGCTTGATAAGCTCGAACGCTTTTCGAAGATCTCCGGTTTGCGAGGCAACCTTCTTCGCGCAGAGCTGGATAGCTGCCGGCTGGAGAAAAGGGACAAATTTGGGATCCGACTCTCCTCCATCTGGGAGCAGGGATCGGAGCTTATTGGTGATAACATTCGCGATTGATGCTGCGTTGTATGGTAGAAAAGGTAGAAGATTGGGCTTCAAATTCTTTGCCTTGAGTTGTGGTAGGGACCTATCCGTCAAATCGAGGGCGTTGGCGATACCAATTAGAATCAGGCTCGACCTGGCATGCAATGACCATTCGAACAAAGATTGTAGTACGCCCGAGTCGCCGGTAAGGAGATGATCCATTTCGTCGAGAGAGACCAGATAGAGGCCTTCTACCTTGGATGGAAGGAACATGGCCTTCAGCCGATCACCCTCACTTTTTTTGAACATATCCGTTTGATCGCCGAAATCCTGGACGAGCCGGGTGTAGACATCGCGGGCGTTTCGCATACTCGCGCAATTCACGTGGGATACCTTGACGGACGACAGATCGATATCCTGGCAGACTTCACCAATCATGGCGCTCTTGCCCGTGCCTGGGGGCCCACTGACATACAGACAGTCACCCTTCTGGGACTTGATACAATCGCCGATGAACGTAGCAACTTTTTCTCGCTCGGCATCGCGTCCGACCAGTCGACCGGAATTGGCGCCACGGGCGAAGAGTTGGCGAGCTTGCGAGTAGACGGATTGAGCGATACTCGGGGTGGCGCTTGGACGGGGAGTCGGCGGGAGATCAGAGTGTCGCGGGGTCCTTGGGGTTGAAGATTTGGCTCCAACCTGTACCCGATGGCGAGGGGTGACGGGAGATTGTTGTAGAGCATCTCGGAAGCGGGACTTTTGAGGTGTTTTGAACTCGATCTCGATGGGTGCCGGTTTTTCATTCTCGATATCACTTTCAGTTTTGATCGTGTTGTCGATATCTTTCTTGATTTCTTTCTCTTCTCTAGGCTTCTCGTCGATGATTTTCTCCTCTGCAATTGACTGAGATTAGCTCCATCTGGTCTATTGGGATCTCCGGCGCACTCGGCTTACCCTCGACGAGCACGAGCTTTGAGGTACGGAAATGCGATTTGATCTGGGTTGGAGACGCACCCTGTACAGTCGGTATAGTTGGCTCCTCAGGGAGAGTATGTTTGGAAGAGAGTTTCGCTTTCGCTTTAGCCTTTACTCGAGGCTTCTCGGTAGGCTGTTTGACGTCTTCATTTTCCTGTTCTGGCGCCGGCGCTTGGTGGGCGAGTCTCGCACTCGATCGTGTCCGGGGAGAGATTTCGGGGGCAGCGCAGCGACATCACGGGAAGGTCGAGGGGCGATTGTGCGGCGCTTGCTGGCAGTGCGCACTGGCAGGCCTGGAAAAGAATCACAATCGAGTTAGTCCATGTGGAAGGTGTGAAGCAGGCGAGAGTATCAGTGGGAAGTCAACTGTCAACGCACCTTCGGTGTCGGCGGCACGAGAGCGCTTGCCCAGGATTGACGCTGTCATGGCTGAAGGAAGTAAGGAAAGGGCCAGGCAATAAACAAGACAAGACAAAAAAGAAAAAGCAGGAGCGAAGAGAGTCGATGTCCGTGCAATGCAATGCAAGTGTTAGCGTTAGTGAGTGGGCACACGAAGTGTCGCAGAACCACGCGAGTCTCGACGCGTCGACGCGTGGGAATCGCCCAACACGGTAAAAGTGGACTCCGGCAGACTGCAGTGACCAACAGCGTATTTATCCACGTGATTGATTACACATCAATGCACAAGGGGTCTATGTGGTCCGCCGCACCCCTGCGTCATGGCAGATCCTCGATCTACAAGTAGTCACTCTTGCTCCGTGCTCTCTGTAGTTCTTGGAAGTTCACTCACCCAAGTACTTTTGAAGATCCTCTTGCTTTTTTATTTTCTGCTTTTTGCAATTTCAAGCCCATTCCGATCTTGCATCTTGATGTCATCTCGCCCTCTCTACAGCTTTGTGGGGTCCTCATCGAGTTAAATCCTCAGTTTGCAGCTGTTTGCATCCCCTCAGCTTCCCCCACACTGAAGTTATCAGGTGAACCTGTGACATTTCGAGACTCCTGCACGCGCCTCTTACTCTACCTCTCACATCCTCTCCAACTCTTCTATTCCTTCCCTCTATCGATTCTTTTATACATCACGACCGCCCATCATGGAGAGCGACGTGGTGGCCCAGTTTTGTGATATCACCGGCTCGAACCCAGAGCTGGCGACACAGTACCTGCAGCTTACCGATTTCAACATCGAACAAGCCATGCAGCTCTACTTCGATAATGGAGGCGCCCCATTGACTGAAGAACCCCAGCAACCTCCCCGTCCTTCCAATTTTGAAGACGAATCAGGCGTGGTCCACATCGACTCCGACTCCGATGATGATAATCGTACCGAACGTCTAACACACCCCGCCGCTAGCGCAACATTCGAAGATGACGCCGCCATGGCTCGCCGACTACAAGAAGAAATGTACGGCGGTGGTGGTCCAGGTGGTGCCCAAGGTGCAGGAGGCGGCAATGGAGATTTTGATGATGAAGGTGTGCGAGCGCCCATGGCGCGTACGACGGAGACCTTGGTGGGGCCTGGGGCAGCCGATTTCGACGACGAGGATGACATGCATACCAATATTTTGAGCCAACTGCGGGCTCGCGGGCGAGGTGGTTGGTACTCCCCTGGGAACACCTAAAACCTCAACTTTGTTTTTATTGGCATGAAAACTAACGTTTGATCAACTTTCAGCAGGCCGGCCAGGTATCTTCAACCAAAGAAATACCGCCTCGATTTGGAACGGTGATTCTGAAGAAACCCATCAAGAGCGACTCTCCAGAGCCACCGGAGGTGCATCAGAGACCTCTTCGAAACAAAATAGGCTTGCAGAAATGTTCCGCCCTCCATTCGAGATCATGTCGAGGGTGCCTTGGGATGTCGCCCGAGATGATGGAAAAGCGCAGGAGAAATGGTTGCTCGTCAACATTCAAGACTCGTCTGTCTTTGATTGCCAAGTTCTCAACCGAGATCTGTGGAAGGACAAGACGGTCCAAGAAACTGTAATGGAACATTTCATTTTTCTTCAATTCTCCAAGGATGATCCCAAGGGTTCCGCCTACATTCAATATTACTTCCAAGCCAGCGACGTCTCCGATAACTACCCGCACATCGCCATCGTTGACCCTCGCACTGGCGAGCAGATGAAGATCTGGTCGGGTCCTCCAGTGATCAAACCTGCCGACTTTCTCATGCAACTGCATGAGTTCCTCGACCGATATAGCTTGAACCACAACGTCCGGAATCCCGTGGCCAAGAGGAAACAAGAGAAGGGGAAGACCGTGGACGCAATGACCGAAGAGGAAATGCTGGAAATGGCAATGAGGAACAGTCTTGGCGAGGGTGCAGCTTCTGGTCAGAAACAGGGAGATCCTGATGATTTGACTCGCAGTACCGACGATGTCAAAGGCAAGGGCCGAGCTACTGAAGAAGACGACATCATGGGTGGCACGCCCGAAGAGGAGGAGGAGGAGGAAGAAGAAGAGGAATCCCAGTCAAGTTCGGCATTTTCTTCCATTCCCAGCAATCAACCACACACCGAACCTGCCGCAGACCCGGCTACGACAACCCGTATCCAATTCCGCCATCCTGCCGGACGTGTTATTCGCCGATTTTCGCTCAGCGACCCCGTCCAGCGTATCTATGAATGGCTCAAGGCCGAGCCGCCTTTGGAAGACAAGGCCGGAGTGGAGTTTGACCTGAATGCTATGGGACGAAACTTAATAGATCACCTCTCGACAAGCATCGAGGAGGCAGGGCTGAAAAACGGCACGGTGAACATCGGGTACTAGGAGTAAGATGATATCAGTCATCTCATTTCTTTGGCTCTCCCTCTCTTTGCAGAGCAGCAGCCATATGCAAAGACCCAAATATACAGTATCCAGCAGCCATTCAGAGGGATGATGAATGGAGGAGAAGCGATGAGCTTTGAACGATGCAGTAACCTTACCCTAGAACCCCATTTCGCAGTCTCGGACCTAGATTTCCAATGAATCATGCAATAAATGTCGCGATCATGTTATAGTGCACTATTTTCAGAGCTGCGGTGTTTCCATTTCCATAAATCCTATTATATTTGTGGTTTCTATAGCGATCAATTCCATTGTTTACATCCCACCTGCTGTATACATCGGCCGATAAGACTGACCGCCCGGCAGAATCGGGCCCCGCGTAAGGAGATAAACAAGGCAAGGCTTCCCTCTCATCACCACTTTCACCTTCATTTCACATTCACGCTGCTGCATTAATTGGCAATTGGCACCATATATCTTGAATCACCTCTCGCGCGCTACCATGCTTTCTGGCTGATTTCTACTGATGCACGCACGAGCCCTATCTGTCTTCGGCTTGTCAACTTCTCTGGCCAACTTTGTTGACGCCCGCACTGTGGACTTCTCCCCGGTAAGTCGATCCCGACCCATTCCTGACCCCTGCGCAGTCCCTCCCCTCATAACCTTAGCTGTTCTGGCTGGCTAACTGTTGGGGTGAATGCAAGGTTTTTCCAGTCGTCAAAGACCATTCCATTTTCTTCCTCTCTCCCCCGCACTGAGACTTGTCTCCGTCCTGTCGATTCCGACCCCATCTAGCACGTCTCACCTCCGCTTCTTCCGTCACCTCCTGCAGCACACCTCAATCGCACAAGGAGAATACTTCGCCACCTATAAAGATCCGCAGAATCTCTTTTCTTCTTTTTCCGGACTGGATTCACTGAATCTATCCCTTGTCCATTGTTGGTCAGAGTATTCGGCGTTGTTGCGCAGTACTTCTCTTTTGGTATTTCTCATACCACAACAATATCGCAAAAATGCCTGGACCGATAGACCCAGAGTCTATCTACACCAAGCAATCATGTATTGGTAAGATGGTTCCTCCAGCCACAGGTCGAATGTGCATGATTACTGACATGTTTCAGGCGGTGGAAGTTTCGGCAGGGTGTACAAAGGGTAGGTCAAACCGCGTTGCCATTGCTTTGCTTTGGACATTAACTAATATTCTCTGTCTCTCATAGGGTTGATAGACGTACCGGAGAATCCGTTGCGATCAAGATTATCGATGTCGAAAACGCCGAGGATGAGGTAGATGACATCATCCAGGAGATCGCGATCTTGTCTGAACTCAAGTCTCCATATGTGACAAAGTATCATGGCTCATATTTGAAAGGATCCAATCTGTGGATCATAATGGAGTTTTGCTCGGGTGGGAGTTGCCATGGACTACTTCGTCCTGGCGTGATCCATGAAGAGTACATTGCGATTATTTTGCGAGAACTTCTGCATGGCTTGGACTATCTCCATAGTGACCATAAACTGCACCGGGATATCAAAGGTGAGCTAGCCATTGTTCAACGAGACCAAAATTGAGTTGAGCGGCAAACTAACTAACCGTCTGCCAGCTGCGAACATTCTGTTGAGTGCCAGTGGCCAGGTCAAGTTGGCTGATTTTGGCGTTTCGGGTCAGTTGTCGGCAACAATGACGAAGAAGAATACTTTCGTTGGAACGCCTTTTTGGATGGCCCCGGAAGTCATTAAACAATCAGGATATGACTATAAAGCAGACATTTGGTCTCTGGGTATCACGGCTATTGAGTTGGCATGTGGAGATCCGCCCTACGCAGATATTCATCCCATGAAAGTTCTGTTTCTAATTCCCAAGAACCCACCCCCAGGCCTGAATGGCAACTTTAGCAGGCCATTCAAACAATTTGTCGAAATGTGTCTGAAGCGGGATCCCAGGGAGCGGCCGTCTGCCAAAGAGATGCTTGAACATCCATTCATTAAGAAGGCTAAGCGAACGACATACTTGACTGAGTTGATCGAGCGCGCTGAGCGTTGGCAGGCCACGCACCGGGGAGATGACGATGATGATGAATATGACGAGACCGAGGAGCCCGCGGTGGATCCTCCTGAAAACCATGAGGATCTTTGGGACTTTGGAACCGTTAGACCCGCTGGTCGAGCTAACGGGCCTGCACTGCAGCCAATGAAGGACTCTGATACGAACTCTCGTGGTCAAGAAACGGAAGAGTGGGATTTGCAAGACGATATAAAACAACCTGTGGCACCGCCTATGTCGAGGACACAACAGCCACAGCCGCAGTCAAACGGCACACCCTCTGCTTCCAATCGGGCAATCCATCCTCCCCCCCGATCCCTTTTCACGCTCTTCTACGACCACTCTACCGCCTCTTCCTCTATCACCATCAAAGCCAGCCGCTCAACCAATTCCCTCGGCCGCTCACCACGCCCGTCAAATTTCAACACCCAATACACCACAAAAGAAATCACCTACGAGGCACAATGACCGCTACGCAAAGGCAGCCGTAGACTTCGCCAATAATGGCGCCGGATCATCACCGAAGCCGGCCCCTACCGAGCTCCCCGACGTCAACACGGCTCAACCCACCAACAACTTACCCAGCGAGCAGCCACGAACTCCTGGACATGTCTCTC